TGCATCGATCAAGTTACAGCTTCTATCCGCTATAAACACTATTATTATAATTACTGATAAGATTAGACTTTTTATCTCCATAAGTGTAGGCTGACGCAGAAGTAAATTAAAAATGAAACAGACCCCAATCTAGGCCAACTCATGACCGATTTGATTTTCCAATAGGACTAAAATCTTCTTTTTTTTTAAAAAAAATAGGCTCAATTTTTAAGAAGTATGGCAACAAAACACATTGGAATGACATTTTACACATTTGGATTGTGTCGCTCTAATTAGCCTTCATTATTATTAATGGATACTTATTAATTCAATATAATTATCTATACATGGCTATTAACGTATTATTTAGTTATATTTTACGTAGTTAGGTCAATGTAACTGCATCGAAATATTTATCTAATGGTTATTTTTTAACTTCAATTTATTATATAAAACACCCTAAATTTGTAGGCCTAAGCCCTAAATGTATTGTAACCCAAATCAATAGTTAACCAATTATTATTATTAGGATAATAATCTAGACTAGCTTATAATGCTAATGACTAACTAGAAAACACTTCAGACTTCAGGCAAGATCTAGATTCTACACAATGGCAACCAGAGTTTCATCCAGGCATCTCTTCTGGGGTGCTCCCCCGAAGAAAGTCTACCGCCTCCCGAACGAAATGGAATTTATATAGAAAACATACTTTAACCAGTGTCCGCCCCCCCCCCCCCCCCCGGAAAATGTTGACGGTCCATTCGAAAATATCAAGTGCCCCCCACCCCCCCCCCCCCCCCGGAGAAAAAAGTCTGGAAGAAACACTGATGGCAACATAATTATAATTTTGGTCTTATTTTTATCTAGGCTTTTACTGAGCGACTAAAAAAAAATAAACAAATCGAGTCAGCAGCATAAGTAAACCGGAAATAGACGTTGCGAAGATCTGTTTTCGGCAGCTCCAAGTCGTGTACAATACTTTGTAGCATTTCCCAAGACACCGTTGTGTTACTTCATAAGAGCCACAATGGATCAAGTTTAATAAGTCGAAGTGGAAATATTTAATTAGTATTAGACTACTCATCGATATTAAAAAGTACGAAATGTAGATCTGTATTGAATACTGTATTGTCTTGTCTTTTTAGATAGATCTAGAAAAATCTAGATCTAGAATCTAGATCTAGATTTAGTTAGTCTCATATAAATTCAATTTTCTTCAAATTATAAAAAGAATAGCATATAATTGTAGAGCTTTAAAAATGCAATCCAACAGTACCAATTTTATTAATTTAGCATAATTGGTTGATTAAATATAATTTTTTTAGTGTCGCAAATAAAATATATAGAAACGCGACCAAAAACGCAGGTAAAAAGTCAAATTCACTTGTTTTGAAGCTAGTAAGCAAGAAAAGACATGATTCTTTCTTACTATTGAAATCAGTTTGCTTATACCTACATTTTTTTACACCAAGGTGAAAGTAAATAGCTTATATAAATTTATAAAATGCCATTTATATAATTTATTGTATGTTTTGTGATGAATTTTCAATTGGAAAATACCGCATTTGGAAGCAGAAAAGTAAATTCTACAGAACAGATGTTGTTTGGAATGTTATAGATTATAGATCTAGGCCTCTATCAAAATGTTTGTTTAATAAAATTCAATTAGAGTCCACCCATTTCTGATGGGTACCTGATATACATTGGGGAAATTAAAGGTAAAAAGTAAAGGCGGCTGTGAATATCGCTGACCACACGGACAATCACTTCATATGCCGAGGTCAAGAAACATGAACTCTACTTCATCTGCCAAATAGATTGCTTTGTCTACAGAGGAATCTTAATTAATGATTACAGGGGCCTAATAAAATTGAGTTATGTTTGTAAAAACAGTAGGCCTAAGCTTTAAAAACTTATTTTGGTCAATATCGGAAAAAATAAAAATCTTTTCGACTAAATGGGTTGAAAAAAGCTTTGAATTTGTTTCATTGTTTGTTATTATATCTTGTAGTATTTAGAGAATTGAAGCTTTCTTTCTTAATTACAAGTTGTATTAATTTCAAACCTTAATGTAATTTCTTTTTAATTCAGTATTAGCCTAAATGTAAGGTAGGCTACAGAATTCAGATATTACCTATGGTTTTGTGATTTTTATATGTTTATAACATTTGTGTTTATGAAATGACCTAATGAAGTTATCAAGCAAACTGTTTTATTATTATTTTAATAGGCCTGCAAGTTATAGATCTAAGTACAAAATATAGATATCTAATCACTAGATCTAGGTCTAAGTTTAAGAAAAAACTACCAAAAGGGTTTGAAATACTTAAATATAGTACTAAAAGTAGCTATGTTTTGAAAAAAAAAATATCTTAAACTGGAGACATTCAATTTAAAAGTCATTATAAAAACTCCACGATCTAGATTTATTTCTAGATCTCTAGTATGAATACAGATTTAGAGGCTTTCCCATCAGTATCAATGTACTATCTTAGCTATGTGGGAGGTCAGTACGAGTTCACTGGGAAAAAAATCGGATCTGCCGTAGGGGGGTGGGTTTAGTGCGCAAATGCTCCTGACCGATTGCCAAAAGGTACAGAAATTCTAAAGATACATTTTAAAAGAAAAATGGACGGCTGAACTGCAGTTATCAAAATATCTGTGTAAGTAGAAGTATAAATAATAATATTTTACACAAATATAGCTGTCTTTTGCTAAATCTAGCTCAATTTCCACGAAAATCGCATCCGGTCGCAATAATTTTTATATCAGCTTGTCGGCCATTCAACGATCTATCACGTGTAGCAGGCGCCAAACAGATTTACCCGTATGGTATTGCGCGAATGCTATTTTTAGCAACAGTGCCGAGACGCGATCGAAAAAAACGAACTAGAAAGTGGCCATAAAAAAGCGGGTCAGGGGAGGTAATTCAACTCGCGTTATGAGACTAGCTACTAGATTAGATTTAGATCTAACAAAGGGGTCTAACAATTTTTTATTTTAATTTACAAATAGTGTGTCAAATAGACCCAGATTCTAGATAGATCTAGATTCTAGATCTTATCTAAAAAAACTAAAAATAACTAATAAAATCTCGGTCTGATCTAGATCTAACCTTTAGGCCTACAATTAGGCCTAATAATTATTTCCTAATGAAGCTGTCTGTTAAAAAAATGGATAAAATAAATGATGGGATACAGTATTTTCTGTGATTTCCGAAACGGCTCGACAGACTACGCCATGGTTTCACTGTTTTTTACTGCTGTACAATTCCGGAATAATAACCGACGCTGTACCGTGATTTTACCTAGAAAAATCTTCTTAAATCTAAATGTCTAGGATTTATTTTAGTCAATAAAGTATAAGTCAGAGCCTTGCTCTAGCTATGCTGCTATACTTACTAGAAGTCCCTCAAACTAAGACTTGTCACTTTACGAAGTACGTAGAAGTTATTTAATCTTCTTAGTAGTATTACCAGTAGAGTATAACTCTTGTAGAAATCGTCAGTAATACATCATAAAGGCTTTATAGTTTGTTAAAGCAGCAATTATTAGCATGGTAGCAATATTAACAAAAAGTGATATTTCAATGCCAAAGGTAGACAAAGGTACAGAATATAGTCCAAGTTGAGACAGAGCAGTTGCTATTTCAGTAGCAACGCCTGTTTCCATCTCCTCTACACGTTATTAGCATGGTGTATTTTGGGTTTAGGCATTAGACTACCTGATTATCCACAGCCTACTGTTTAACCTTAATGTTGAGTTAGTAGGCCCTATCAGTTATTTCGTAGCCATCACAAAAAATAAGAACAAAAATAATCATAATGATATTGGGCATCATTTTAATAGCAGTTGATATGTTGACTAATATCAACCTTTTTGTTTACAAACTTGAGTTTTAATAACATTTCGAACTGCTCTTATAATTCCCCTGTTATTGACTACTTTTCTAATATCATAGTCTATGATAATTTTGGCTTTTATTTTCAAATATTGTTTTGGTCTAGTTTACTAAAATATTAATAACCCAAAAAACATTACATTTGTACAAGGTAAAGTTTCCCTTTCAAACCTGACGGTCTATGGGTCAAGTGAAGTAGAGTTCACTTGTTTCTGTCACCTCGGCATATGAATAGATAGTGTTGTCAGCACTATGCCCAGCCGCCTTTCCTTTACCTAACGTGAGTTAGGTACCCATCAGAGTTGGGTGGAGTCAGGGACGGTCTACTGACTTGAACCCGGATTCGAACTCGAGACTTATGGGTTAGCAGTCCAACTATCTACCGCTAGACCACTCCGTCCCACACTTGTACAAAGGTAATACAAAACACATGCAATGAAGTTTTTATAAAAACTCTTCTTAATAATGTACAATTATATTAGTTTTTGTGTGTGTACAAACTGGAAAAGTTGATTACAAATTAAGACAGAAATAAAAACCCTTAGAAAACAACTTCAGTTAAGCTCACTACTGTAATATATGTATTATAAGCAACCCCACTTTTGGTTGTATTTATTTAAACTTTTATAATACATACAATTGTTTATATAATCATAACTATCTTTAGCTTTCTATAAGAGTGTCATGGAAAATATTGTGTTATCAACTTTTGACAGCCCTACTAGATAAAACATTTTAAAACTTTTATTGATGCACCTGTAATACTAATATTCAATTTACAAACTAAGTACATTCATGTTAAAAAACACAAGCTTGAGAACAAACAAATATGATTTGGAGCTTCAAATATGACTCTGTTGATCAAGATATCAAATTTAACCCTTACCCTAATTATTAAACCAATCCTATTTCTTAACCTAACTAAAATGCTGGTGTTATTTTGGTCTGAAAAGCAGAACACTACAGAAGAACTAAAAACTTTGTTGTTTATGAAGGTTAATTATTTAAACATGTGATTTTGTTTTTAAAGGAAATAAAATTAATAATATTACAATTTGTAAATTTCAGATTCTTTTGTACTTTCATGCTAGATAATAAACTTGCACATTTAAGAACAAAGAATGTCTGCGTCACTGTCGCTGAAAGTTGGTGTTGTTAAGATTCCAGAAGATTCTGATTTCCGCCATTTTAAATCACTATGTGAGGACACAGATGGCTGGAAGCTGGAGGTCAATAAAAATCAGACAATGGTCTGGACAAAAGCCAATGACTTGTCAGACTTTAAAATGGTGAAGGTATGTAATTGTCATTTAGATTTGACTCGACATCATTTGTAAAGGATAACTTGTACTATCTTCATTGTAGAATGTTTGCCCTCAGTAACTTATCAATTACATCAAGTTTAAAATTTTTCCATTACAATTTGCCATCAACATAAACACTTTGACACTAAAAGGAGTCATCCGTAAATGACATAACATAGCTGATGGTGTAGGGAGTGTCTGGTTTTGTAATGGGAGTGAGGATGGTGCTTTATTTAAGATTAAATTTTATTAAAAAAAAATAGTTCATTTAAATCTATAATAAAATTTGCCAGTATTTCCAGTTTGTTTGGTCAATGTAAACAACTCAATTACTTATATGGAAAAACTTGAGTGGACTTCCCTTTTTGATCATACATATGTCTGATTAATCCTGATGCAACCTGTGACACTAAGAATCACACTTGGTCTAGCTCACAATACAATGGAAGATTATGAAGCTCCAGGAGTTGCAGTATTCAATGAATCAAATGAATGCTAACAAAATTATATCACATGGCCGTTTTTATATGACCTTGTGTGTATTTAATAGTTAAGGGTAAACATCAATTAAATAAAAATCATATGAATTGTGTCAACTCTCAAGGAAGAGAGTTAATTTGGGGGAAGGTGGAGGGGACTGTGATATCGAGTATGGGATTATGTCATTTACTGAACAAATTTGTTCAACAAAAAGTTGTTTATCAGTCTTATAAACTAACACAATAATATTGCACAGCTGCTGTTCATCACTCTTTGGCTGTGACTTTAAAGTTAACAACATTTTTACAATTATACATAGTTTATTTACATTTAAAATTAATACAGGGGAGAAATGGTTAAATGTTTTAAAAACTCATTGACATGTTGGCTTGTTTCATTTGTTTTTTTGACTGACAGAGATATTTTTCTAAGACATTATTTTCATGGAACTTTATCTGATTGATTTCCATATTTTCCTTCAAAATACCAAGAATACTTGTTTTAAAAAAGTATAATTTGAGTTACATTTTTTACTTTTTTTTTGGTTGCAGGTGCGTTGCATCTTCAGTGACATTGATGCTGCTACCTTATATGATGTATTGCATGATCCACAATTTCGCAAAACCTGGGACCAAACAATGCTGGAAGGCTCTGAAATATGTGCCATCAACCCAAACAACGATATTGGCTACTATGCAAGTAAGAATCTCCCTACACCACAGACATGCTGTCTCAGTGGATGTGAATGTCTAGATACATTGGTCACAAAATGACAGGCTCTCTTATAGCTATATAGAAAGTTATCAGTGTTGCAGCTAGAGGAGTGATAGAAATGATTTGTGTACTACTATTCTCTAACTGCATGGTGGGTAATAGAAGATATCATAGAGCCAGCAAAGTGAAAAGATTTGCCTTGACTGATGACTCTGCCATTTGGGATGGTGTGGTCAGGTCCAGTGTTGAAGGTTGGATGAGTTTATGACCTATGTTAGAAAAAAAAATGAGCTCTGCCCATACTATATATTTATATTCTCTTTACTTTCAGTTCGGTGTCCAGCACCCCTAAAAAATAGGGACTTTGTTACTCAGAGGTCATGGTTGGATTGTGGATATGAAAAAATCATATTCAACCATTCAGTGAATCATACGGTAAATCATAGTACTTTAACATTTTTACACCTTTGTTTGAGTCTGACTTGTTATCTTACTGTAATCTTTTATATTTAAAGTAGCATTGATTCAAGTGGTTTTTTTTTGTTTCAATTATTTCTAACAGGCACGACCACTAAGGAAAGGTGTCATTAGGGGTGTCTCATACCTAACAGGTTATTATATCACAAAGCTTGAGGACAAAAAGACACAACTAACTTATGTATCTCAATCTGACCCCAAAGGTAAGGAGGGATGTTAAAAAAAAGTCTCTTGAAACTTAATTCCGGTATGTGCCATTTTAATATTAATGGTTGAAATAATAACCTAAAAACAAAACATAGATTGGGTTGAGAAATCTAAATTGAAAGTTTAAAAAAAAAATCTATGGTGAGCATTTTTAACTTTATGCTAATTTTCAAATTAAGCTAAATTTTATGCAGAGATAAACCCTTTTAGTTTTGTTAAGAATCAAAAGTTAAAATATTTATCTAGTAAATATTATTTGTCATCAGGTCACATGTTCATAACCCTTCATTGTTTACTTAGTGCGTGTTTGCTTTTTTAAAAAGGATGAGTGAAGTTTAAAAAATGTATATCCTCTAAACATTGATGTTAAGGCCACAAGATATCTAGTTCTCAGCACAAACCTACAATTGAATAAGGGATTAGTAAACCATAAACCAAAACAACTTATGATAGATTATCAACTAACCAAGAAAATTAGGTGGCCATCTAATAGATAAACAAAGTAGTCGCCTGTCTTAGTTTACTTTAATTGAAATTGTTTCTATTTGTAGTTTAAAAACTATGCAAGAGCATTTTAGTTGATTTGTTTAAATTTTGCTAAGAAATGTACTGTTTATTGTGATTGGAATACTACCACTAAGTTAGTCCATTTTGAATTAAGCTAAAGCAATTATTTCTGTATGTTTGAAGAAAAGACCAATGTCCACCCCCTTCCTAAACAAAGCAATTGCCAGTTTAAAATCTTGTTACATCATTTTATGATAGGCTTAAACATGTCTTTCAGACTTTACATTGAATTGTATTGACCATTTGCTCTTTAAATAGCCTTTTAACAACATAAAAATACATCATGGATCTGTAATCAGATTTCACCTAAATAAGCCTTGTACTAAATTCTAACTAATTAACCCACTCTGCACAGAGGTGTCGTTCATGTTTGAGTGAACACTTGTAATCTATGTATCATCATGCATCAGCTGGGGGAGGGGGGAATAATAGGCTAGCCTGAAATGTTAAGGAAGGTGGTTATCAAAACAAATGGGCAGGTATCTTCTGTAACTTAAAACTGTAGTATTGATTGACACGTTGTTAAGAGTAGACAGGCAAACAAGCAGAACATAATCTGGTGTGTTGATAGTTCTTGAATAACACCAGATTTAAGTAATATGAGATTTAATCATTAAAAAGTTATTGATTAGCCACTTGTTGGGTGTATATAAAATACAATGTCTTTTATTGTAAGGGCTACCCATCTTTCTATGTTATCTCTCTATTTCACATTTGTCTACAAACTTAAAAATTCAAGCCCTATGGTTCTGTAATCCTCTTGTCATACAAGACTGAAAATCTCCATATGCATTACACATAACCCTATCTACATTTTTATAATTTAAATGAATGTATTAAATTTTAATACATTCATTTTACTGCAGACAAACTTTAAAGTTGTTCCATCACCCCCCCCCCCTTTTTTTTTAGTTATTTATTTTTTGTTTTTAGTTTTACATACAAATTAGTATTTAAAAATGCATACTATCTATCATGATGTAGAAAAGTAGAAATAGGGATGAGGAACTTAAATCTTAATCACATTTGATTTACCTTATGGACAAACAAAAAGATGATAGAGGTCTGAAAAGGTGTCATTTTTCACACCTTTTTATGGTTTACATAGCTGCTTGAGCTGTTGTGTGATGTTTTCTATTTTTTGTTTATAGAATAAATAATTCTAGCAAACTGATTCATTGAATCTTTTTCAAAATGAAAAAAAAATATTTTGGCTGTTGTTTCTGGAATAAAATTTGACTACTTGCTTTCCCTGTTTATCTACAAAATGGACCTTTTAAATCCTCATCAATCCCTTCAGAATGGATTTATGAATGATTTAGCAATATTTGGATATAAACTTGTAGGTTTCCGGGAAAATGCGCTAATACAAACTAATTATACTAATGCACTTTCATTTTGTCATACTTCGTGGTAATGTTTTTTATGCTACAATGTACAACTATTCACTCTTTGTCAATGTCTATAAATACTCAGTTTAATAAAACAAAAATGCCCTTGCACAGTTTTCCGTTGCACGATTTTCCTTTGTGCATCTATGCTGTTACCAAACAATGTATAATTTGTTATTTGAGTAATATTTGGATAGAAATGTACTATGTATATTAGGTTATTTGCCAGTAGATGTAACTACAGCCAACCTTAACCCTAATTTTGTATTCCAGGTAACCTACCAGCCTGGGCTATCAACAAGTTAACTAAAATGTTTGCACCAAAAGTAAGTATTGCTTGTTATGATTTCCTTTCATATGGAATATCTTGATAAAGTTGGGGCACAGAATTATTCATTTGTTTTTTAAATTTCCTTCTATTTTTGGGATCCTCCACACCATAATGTTTTGCTTTGTATTTCAAGAAATTTGTGGAGGAACTTAACGATATACATTTTGGGATTTTAGCTATTGTTAGTAGTTATGTATTCAGGTGTGCATACATTTTTGGTATAAGTTCTTTTTTTAGATCTACCTAAAGGTATTTAAGTTGCCTTAGGAAAGCTGCAAATAATTTGCTTGGTATAAAAACGCCAGATGGTTATTTCATATTTCTGACAATTACACTTTGGATAGAAATGAAACTAACTTTTACCCTTAATTTTACAAGAAAACAAATTTAAAAACCAAAAATCAGCCATAGTTGCTATGTAACTCAAACAGCCATGGGTGATCCCTTTTAACTAGTCCATTCAAGTTGTTATTTGTTATTGAAGTGATTTTTTTTTTTTGCAAAACACTGCTTAAGTTAAATGTATTCCCTATTTGTTATTACAATGGAAAGATTAATGTTATTTCTTTTAAATAGACTTTAAATAACAATTTTATGTGCATTAAAAAAAAATGCCCATAATTATGTGTTATTATAAATTGATAACAAAAAACTCCAAAGTATCTTACTTATTCGAAAAATCATTTTATATTTTACTAGGCTTGTTTTACTCTTGCATCTTTGAAATAGTTCTTGTGGATTTCAGGATATATTTGATGTTAGCCTGTTTTTCATTGTTTTATATTTTTTTAATATTTTTGAATTATAATTTGTTTTTAAAATATAAAAAAAGACCTCACAAAAAAAATTGTGTGGGAATCGCTATTAAAAACAAAATAAACCAAATCTGTACCTATCAGAAGAATATGCAAATCTTAGTCACGGTGTTTAAATAGTTGCTGTTTGTATTCATTTGACAAAAAGTTGACATTAAAATTATTTTTACACTTTTGACTGTATTTGAACTTTATTTCAATGAATTCTGTTTATTCATCTGTTGCCACTGTTATCTTCTAATGAGACTAATGACTTCTAGTGAAACTGACATAACTCCTTACCAGCTGGGATAAAATGATGAAAAATGCTTAAAAAATAAAAAAATGTGCTAAAATATTACCTAGATATGGATTCTTTGAACATTGTGACTATGCATATAAGGTTAACGCAAGATTAATATCTTGGATATCAAAGAAATCTTGATTATGTTCAAACTAACCTGTTGCAACTCCAATCTCCCACAGGTCATCAACCGTATCTATAAAGCAGCTAAAACCTACCACACATGGAAGGCCAAAAACAACCCCAGCTTTAAACCCTGGTTGAACCCAGAACAGATGATGACAATGCTCCCCCCCTACAACCCAGCTGACAACGTTGTACAGGACGTCATGACCGGCTCTAAGGAGTCTCTGGATGAAGAGGAACTTAACGAGGCAGATTTTAAAGATGAGGATTATTAAAGAGGGCTTAATGAGGCAAGCAGAGTTTAAAGATAATGATTATTTGAGCTAAATGAGGCAGGCAGATTTTAAAGATGAGGATTATTTGAGCTAAATGAGGAAGATTTTAAAGATAATGATTATTTGAGCTAAACGAGGCAAATTGAAATAGGATAATATAGTTAGTTTCATTTTTAATCAGATGAGGAAGAGCTTAACGAGGTAAATTTTAAAGATTAGGATCATCAACATTAAAGATACTCATTCCATTTTCTTGCTTACTAACTTTTAAATAACTTGTTATCTCTAATTACATATAATTTTTAGTTAATCTTGTGGGGTTTTTAAATGGTTTTATTTGTATTTAGCAATTTTATTGTATGAGTTTCTCCTCATCTACTCTAGTGAAAGACAATTCAGAAAGATTCTTAATAATTAATGTTTTGTAGGCTGTACAAGCCCCAACTGTAGTATTTGGGGATTTAATTTATTCCATGACATTTTGGCTACATTACTGCTAAGGTGATCTCAGGACATTTGTCTAGATTGATTGATTTGTGATTGATTTTAGTCGTGTACTAGAGGTATTTTTTAAAGATCTCTTAACTTAGTGATATAAAGATAAGATGTGAATTAGAGGATGAAAACCAAACTTGTAGAAACTTGTTTCATATATAACAAACATATGATTCATGTTTTTTTTATTTACCACCTTTCACTTTATTGGTAGAATAATAGGATTATTAAGTGCAGTACAGTTTCCCATTTTAGTGCTACTTATTTCAACTGATGAATAATCTTTAAGTTAACATATCAAAGCTGTTTGTGAATCTAGATCTAGAATACCACCATTGGTTTGTGAATGTTTCACCAAACAGAAGTGTTTTTGTTCTTAAATATAATTTTCAGGACTTGGAGGCTTTTTAAAATTATTTGATCAGTTGATGGATATGTAATGATATTTTTTTTTTTCATTCAAAGTATTCTAATTTCATTGTTGATGTATTCAATTCGTTTTCAAATATTGTTTTTATTTATCAGAACACTATGAACCTAAGTATTTCTTTAGGGAAGATTTTTAGTGCATATCTGGCAGTTCTGAGAACTGCTATTTTTTTTTTAAATATTGTTAAACTCATGTATAATTCTTATTGATTTTCAGCCATTTAAGGAGATGGCTTAGTAATGTTTCCTCTAGCAAATTTATTTTTTTGTGTTTTGATTCTTGGTTAGTACTTATTTCAAAGTACTTACTGTCTAAACTTTGTTTTGAAATGCAAATTTAGACATAGTTATTGAGCTTGTAATACCCTATTATTTAAAAAAAAAATTAGATTGTTAATTTAGATATTATTTTTTATACTGTAGGTATTCCAATTTTAAAAGAGAATTTTTGTATATCAGTTGTAGCCTTGTCTTATTGGTTTAAGCTAATCACTTGTAGCTTTGTCTTATTGATTTAAGCAGATAAGTTGTAGCCCTGTCTTTATAATAACAGTGTAGCATTTAGTGATCACGGAGAATAAATGTTGATAAAACTAAGGGAGAATTTCACTAGTCATGCATGAATGAAGAAATGACTGGAATCAAAAGGTTATGTGGACAGGTTTTGTGTGAAGAAATATTTTTACTGATTGGATGTGAGTGATTGGGACAACTGTGACTTGGTGTGCTTGAAAAATTATTACTTTGTATTGAATGCTAGTAATGACTGTATTCTTGAGTCTGAACATTTATTATACTAGGCTGGATGCAAGTAGTTTGTAATGATTTTGTAATTGTAAACCTCAGCCAATAAACCATCAGTTGGTGAATAAAGTCTTGCCTAGAACAATGGGAATCAAACTGAACAATGGATGTAACTTGATACACAGCACTACACTACATTTAATGTTTGAATATAAAACACTGTGTGTGCTAATTTTGTACTAATAGTATTTGTGAATGACTTTGATGTTTCTAAATTTTCTTCAAGGAATCTCTTAAGTTTATAAAAAACCATCTATACATTTGAAAGTGACAGAATGTGTACAGAAAAACCTCTTCCAACTTTTCCCTTTGTAAAGAATTCGCTGCTGTTTTGATTTGAATTGCTCAGAAATGGTTGTTTATTTTAAAACTTTTTGTAGTGTAAACAATAGCTAAATGTATTGTTAAAAATTTAAATGTTAAACCTTTTTTTTTACCCTTTGTGTTAAGAAATTTTCCTAGCAATTGCTGGTCACTGAAATTAGTTAAAAAATATTTTATATCAGAGCATCATTTGTTACTGGGTAAAGAAAAATGGAAAAAGTATTAACCTAGTTTTTTGTTCAGTATTTATTGCTCATTGTATCATATGAATGAGATTTTAAAATTGAACATAATTGTTGTTTTCTTGTTACCTACACAAAATAGCTGCTCTTGTTTTTCTGTATTTATAAATAAATATTTTTATAATAACTGTTGTGAATTTTCGGAACATTTTGACAATATTTAATCGCTATCTTTACTCTGAACTTACATTGTGGGACCAAAATTGTGGTGGACAGATAGAACTGCCTGTGACATTGAAGTGAAACTGTTATGAGCGTCTGCAGAAACACTTAGATTTATCATTTTTTTCCCTCTGGTTTTAATTTGATGCCTGCACTAAGTACAACAGTTATTTGTGTATACAATGATGTGAGTGCAAAGTTGCTGGTAAATTATTTTACCGCTGTAAAATACGGGTTTTTTCCAAATCATGGAGTAAATATTTGACGGTTGGTAAATTCTTGATGTTCTTGTCTGGCTGTTGTGTATCCAAGCCTATACATGCTACCGTTTTTTTTTTTACAGACCTCTCCAACCCTAAATTTTATCTACGAAATTAAGTCTTCTTACTACTTTAAAGAGAACATTTGTTTGTTTTTTTTTCACTATTTCAGAGATGTTTTGTAAAAACGGATTTAAAAGAATTTTTTTTTTTTTTTTTTGATTGTTGCTTTATTGCCGCTGTTCTTGCATAATTATTGTAACTATTTATGATACAATATTTTTGTGATTAAAACTTGTGTGCATGAGTTATTTATTGAATTGTCAATGGATTCCGTTCTGCCAACTAGTATTACTCATGTGCTATGGTTCTTTTGTTTTTATTCTTGTGATTATTTTTTTTACTAAGTTCAGTCAATTAAAACAAATTTCATGATTCCACCCATCTATGTTCTAACGGAAGTTACTTGGTGATTTTAATATGGTATTCTATGCTTGTTTGGTTGTTGGAACTACGTGAAATTGTTTTCATGCATAATTTTCTGTTTCATTTTGTCTGGACACTATGATTCAGTTATTGAGGCAATGAGAAAACCAGATCATATATTTTTTTAAACCATTCAATTTGTCACTCACTTTTTTACAAATACAAACAACAACAGACTTTGAAATGATGTAGCTTTAAATTGTTGAAAGGAAAACCAAAATAGTGATCAGCAGGGAAACAAATGAGATGTTCTGGTAGGCCATGTGTGGTGGGGTAGTTCTTGGTATATTTTTGTTGGGCTAGTTCTTTGTTTTTCTTGATCTAGTTCTTGGTTTTTCTTGATCTAGTTCTTGGTATATTTTTGTTGGGCTAGTTCTTGGTATATTTTTGTTGGGCTAGTTCTTGGTTCTCTTGTAATAGTTCTTGGTGGGTTTTTGTTGTGCTAGTTCTTGGTACATTTTTCTTATTCTAGTTCTTGGTTGTTTTTTTTATAGTTCTTTGTGGGTTTTTGTTGTGGTGGGTTGGGTAGTTTTGTTGTTAGTGGTCTTAGTAGTTATTTTAATGTGGTAGGTCATAGTAGGTTTTTGTAGTGTTAGGTGTTAGCCCTTAGGTACATTTTTGATGTGAAGTTGTAAGATTTGGTTCAAAAAGTTATCTTTGCCTAAGTTTTGCTTTGATTAGCCGACAATACATTTTCTGGCATGACCTGTTGTACATTTATTTAAACAACTTGTCGCTTATTTAATCCTTGGGTCCAGTGTTTCTTCCAGACTTTTTTCTCCGGGGGGCACTTGAAATTTTCGGGGGGGCGGTAGACTTTCTTCGGGGGGGGGGGGGGGGGGGGGCGGACACTGTTAAAAGTATATATTTTCTATATAAATTATATAAATTTAATTTCGTTCGGGGGGGGGGGGGGGGCGGTAAAATTTTTTCGGGGTGGCAAAGCCCCCCCCCCCCCCCCGAAGATATGCCTGGAAGAAACTCTGCTTGGGTCCCGCCCTATAAACTGGTTGTAGAAAAATCAGTGTTAACTTGTTATTCTTCCCATAGTGCCTTAGTGCTGGCCAATGAATGCTTGATGCCCAGAGTTAGTCTGGCCATTCACTGTGTGGGGGTGGGGAAAATGTAATGCTAAACATCTGTCCTGTTGTAGTGTTTAGATTTGTCTGTTAATCAATGAGCAGTGGGGTATTCGTTTGGTCTTAGAACATTGACACTACAATTTGGAACTTTTTTTAGCAGTGTCATCGATTGAGTACATGATTTGTTTCAAGTTCCCTAATTTTTTTTTAGTTTTTTGTTCAAGTTGAAGGCATATTTTTTATAGTTTGATGAGGTTCTTATAACATTGTTGGCAGAAGAGTGTTGTACCTTATTGAGGTTACTCTGTTATGGTATAATTAACACTAGGGCTGGAGGTAATTTATGGTCATGGTTAGGTCTAGGGTAGCAACACCTACAGATTTCAAATAAACTGCCAGCATTTTTAAAAGAAGGCCTATCTTAGAGGATAGCAAGAAACTTATTTACCAAAATAAGCACTGTCAAGAAAAACTTAAATAGAAATGTTATGGATCTAGAACAATTTTCTCCAGATAATAAGCTGTTTTGTACATGTAAGGGAAATAATTATCAAGTGGAGATCAGATTTTTCTGCCTATTGTTATTTTAGGACTGAGGTATTGATTTTGTGTGAATATATAATTGTCCTTGCGAGTCTAGGCATTGTTAAAAAAGAAATCAATACTTGAGAAATTTAATAGCGCAACCGTTTCACTGCAAGTTTAAAGTTTCCTCAACAAAAATGTTAGGCTTATGTTGAACACAGGTTCATATTGATGATCCATTTTCTCTCTTAAGCATTAGTGTTAATGGCTTGATTATTTGTTTCTTTTACTACTTTACTATATTAGTTGTTACTTTTGTCTGTAATTTATACTTGACACGTTACATGTTTTATACTTTACATTAGATGTGATATACTTCATAATTGTTCACGTTATTTTTTTTTTATCTGATCTCATGTATTGCGAAGTTTCTTAAATTCTTTTTTGTTTCAACTTTAAAAAAATAAAATCTACAGTTTTCAGTCCATTATTACCCACCACTTGAGTTAAACAATGTGAAATAATTTGTGGTATAACCTTTAAATGTTCAGTATCTTCTGTAAATTTTTATACTATTATTTTAGCAAACACTAGTGACTTTAAAAATTGTTGTAATTTTCAAAATGTAACTAAGTTTGCTTTTTTACTTTTAAACTTAACTTGAAAGACATGATTAATTTTGCTCATTTTTAAATTTAATGTGTGCTAGTTTCCTACATTATGATGTAACTCAAATATATATCTTAATATAAAAGTTATTGATGGGATTTTTGTCTGTTTTGACGATGCATTTGAATTTTACCTTTATTAATCTTTGTGTGCTTTAAATGAAGTCATTCAGCATTCTGTTAATGTATCCAGGCTCAGATGATTTTAAATCTATTATAAGCTCATTACGCAGATTGTTGTCTGCTGACCTGTAGCTAGATGTGAGTTGTGCTCAGGTGTTTATGTAGGCACCTGTGAGTGGAATTGGTGTGCCAATGGTTGGTCTTATCTGTTGCTGACAGATTTTATGTAGATGATCACCAAACTCAATTATATGTTGCCAGATAAAAATGAACACTTCCAAAGTGAAAAACAAAAATCCAGTCTATTGCAAGTTAACTGGCCATTTTGGTCCCTTTTTTTTATCACTGATGCTGCTGTTATGTCCTAGTCTAAAGGGAATAACATCACTAAAAAAAAGACTTTTAAATAAATAAAATAATATGTTTGACTATAGATTTTTAAAATTTTTATTGAAATTTTCTTCAATATTTTCTTTCACTGTTTACTTCAAATGTTACATTTTCTACAGTTTTTTTTTCTTACAATTTTGTCTACACCTTTAAATTTGAATAAATGAAAAATGAAATACATTTGATTAATTGCTGTGTCAGATGATTAAAATACCAGTCCAAACGATTGGAACTTCACCAGTGAAACTATTCTTGAGTGTGCCCAGTTTAACAGATAAATGACATTTACTGAGGTTGCATTTATTAAAAATGTGATATTTATTAACGTAATGACCTTACTGGATTTTATTGTGTTAGGAGTGATTGCCTTGTCGCTCACCACCTCTGATTAACATCGCTGTTTTTAATCTAGTTGCATCATGGAACTGTTGATGCTTTCTTTTCTTTAGAATAATGAAAGTTTCTTGTTAAGGCAGTGGTATTTCAGATTTGTGAAACTTTGGCTCTGTTGACTAAAAAATTGCTCTTTAAAACAGTTTGTTTTCTGAACTTGCGTTTAAGATGGGTGTTATTTTCATAAAACATGCCCTTCATTAGAAGCTTGTCTATCCTTTTTATTTTTTTAAGACAATTTTCTTCTCAATTTGTTTTTATAATTTAGAGAATTATTAGTTTTCTTCCTTCTTATATTTCAAATATCATTGGTCACAAACCTGGGAAACATTGTTGAAAGATGTCCATGAAAAGACAGAACGTAATTACACCTTGTTTTGTCATTGCTCCTGTAATGGACCATCTTCCTCACTAGGAAAACTTTTCTTTATATCTGAATACAACGTGTGTATTGCTTTTTATTCTGCTTTCTTTTATCTTTTTTTGTGTGAATTTTTTTATAACATTTTAAACATAAATTATTGCTGTTTTAAATGTTAAAGAACAAACCTTGTTTACATTTCCTCTGTGATTAATCTAAAGAAATGTATTATCAATTAGAACATGTTTAATAAAATTATACTATTACAATTTGCAATTGTGTAAAAGAAAAAAAAATTAATTGAAGCTATTAACATCAATAAAAGCATAACTAATTAACCTAAAATACATTTTTAAAAAAATATCTTCTTTCACTCTTTATGAGCCAAATTTTTTAATGAATCGTAGCTTGTTAGTAAAAAAAAATTCCATATTTTCATTAATATTTATAAATTTATTTGAAACTATTTTTTCTAACACCTTTGAAACTTTTATGTGTGATTTATTGTCTCTACTAGTCTTTTAGTATTACTGACCATTTTTGTAACATAAGAAAAAAATTAATCTAATGTCACACTCATTCTTTTTGAGTTAATTCTAACCTATGTATATTTGCTGTAGTACTTTTTTTCTAAAACAATTTGAATGAATGGTATGTAATAATAATATTTTTTTTTCTAATTGTGATTTCCAATGATTAACAAGTTGAGTTGTAGAGGTGGAATGTATTCTGTTGTAGCATGGTCATGGGTGCTGTTCACTAGAGCTGATAGATGCTAGATGAAGTAGATGAGTCCATAGTCAAGCTTAGTTGTAATCTACTTAGGTCAGTTGTGTCCAGCCTGGATTGCTTTTAAATAAGCAACAACAACAACAAAAATGGTTGAAAATAAAACTCTAAAAATGATTAATGTTTTTCATTGTTTTTTCTATTTTAACTGGAGCATAACCTGCACATTTTTTTAAGAAGGGACATTGCTTATACTAATAACCTACATTTACTAAGATGAATAATATGCAGGTTGGTGTACATTGAATTTTTATATATATATATCAGTGGTTCTAAACCTGGGTTTGATAAAACCCCAGAGGTTCGGTGAGTCAGTCACTTGGGTTTGGCAGAGGTCAAGACACGCACTTGATGATTCACATTCGGATTTTGTTAATGCAGACAATAGAATTAGTAAGAAGGGTTTAGTGAACTTGCATATGAAACTGGTGGGGTTCGGTATGTCAAAAAATGTTAAGAACTATTGATATATATATATATATATATATATATATATATATATATATATATATATATATATATATATATATATATATATATATATATATATATAATATATATATATATATATATAATATATATATATATAACATGTGTTAAATCTTTTAAGCATTACTACACCATTTATTAGATTACCATAAAACTGATAGTTTTTGGAGTACACCCCCAAAAATGTTTCTGACATAAACAAATTTAAATACCCAAGGGGGTGCCCCACTTAGAAAGTTGGAACCCAAGGGGACCAATATGACTACTTAAAACAATGCTCCTACTACATTAGCTGATCACCCTACAAGGAGCCCATGTTCCCTCATGAGCCTTATGGCACCTATATGTTTTAAAGAGCACCCTACACTAGAGATACATTGGGCTTATACAATCCATAATAAACAATTTTGCGAAATTACTATGTATATTTAAATTGGGAATTTTTTGTGGTTACTCATAGTCCAGCTGCTAACATTTACACTGCTTGATTTGTTTTTTTTTTAAAGGAAACTCCAATTGATAGCACACATTTTTTTTTAAAAATAAGGTGGGTGGGGGTAGAATTCTTCTACATGCTGTGTAATCGAGGATGAAATGTGAGGGTGGGAGGCTGGTTAAAATGTGTAGAAACATATATCTTATAATTCTTCAAAGACAAAATTATAATCATTTTCTTTAGAATAGTTGTGACTTTATGGGGGGGGGGGGAAGAATAGTCTGAATGTTTAACACTCAAGTCACTAAGAAAATGTGATATTATACTTTAGCATTGAGAGTGTTAACCACAGGGTATGTCAATTGTCAAAAGTGTGTCATTGACATGAAAAGACAGCATTACTATGCAAAGAAGCCAACAGTTTAATTAATTTCTTCTGCTAAGTTAATTACTAAAGAGATATATTTGTACCTTATGTTAAAACAATATCAGAAACCAGGTAAAAATAGCTGGAAGAAAAATACCTGACATTTTTTTATTAGTATGCAGCCTACTGCCTGAAGCAAATTATACAAGGGATTAAATTATAGGGAAGTTGACATTTATTATGCGAGGGCAAATGTCAACAGATGAGTTATCTCCCTGCCATAGTGCTTTCTGCTGCTGCAATAATAAGTAGAAAACTTGAGAAGATTCTGGAAAAGGTGGGGCAGTGACATTTTACCCACTTGTCACATGAGCTAATGAGTTTGACACTTTGATCATCACCAAGCGCTGGGTAAATGAATGTCAAGCAGTTTGCCAGGTAATGGGTGTCAGGTATTGATAGCGCTGCTGGCAATAAAGGGGAGAAAATCAATACTCTTATCAGTTAGTCTACACTCAGTCAAGCCACTTATGACTTCAGCACCATAAGAAACAAACTAGGTTTAGAAAGAAGTCAATATTAGTTCTCGACTCATTAGAAAGAATAACTGAGAAGCCTACATTTTGTTAGCTATAGGTTGGTTTCCAACTAGAGACGAATAACTGTTTAAATATAAAACAAACACTTCTTTTAAATTTTCTTTTTTTATTTAATATGTATCATGTGTCACTTTTTAAAATAATAGCTATTAAAAAGAAGAAAAAACATAAAAGTAAAAGAAAGCATACGTGATCTAAATAAAAAATATTAACAACAGCCAAAATAATTAGCCCAATGTAATTTTTATTATAGGTTCTACTGTAATACATAGTAGCACATATCAATTTAGATAATTCTTTTTAGTTTTACAATCCTCTCAAAGTAAATTGAACTCCTAAAAAACAAAGAACACAAATAAAGTGATAGTAAATTACAATGGTATGACCTAGACCCACACAAGATATACCATTAAAAAAAGTCCATTTATATATACATGCCAATTATTAAAATATTAATGAAATTTCTAATTTTAATCCAGCAAAGTGATTTTACTTTAAAAAGGCAAAAATGTATACATATACAATTTTTAAAAATCATAACACTAAAATATATCTAATAGTTTTACGCAACAAAATAAACTTTACCCCTGATGAAAATTAACAAGAGTTTAAGAAAACTACAAGAGTTTCCGGTTTAAAAGACATTTTCTAACAATTAACATAGAAACATCAAACTTGATGCATCAATACCACACAATGTAATTTTTATTCTTAGTTGTACATACCAATAATGCAAAAATAAATGAAATTTCTATTTTAAATTTAATCAAGCAAAGTGATTTTGATTCAAAAGGCAAACATTTAAACAAATCCAATTTTTTTAATAATCTTGAAGCACTAAAATGTCTAAATATAATCACACAAAAAAATAAACATTACCCCTGATATAAAAAAACAAACCAGTAAGTATAACAGCAAGAGAAAACTACAAGAGTTTCTAGTGTAAATAAAGAGATTTACTAACAATAACATAGGAACATCAAACTTGATGTAACTCAATGTGATTCTCTTAGTGGTTGTCACGGATTGAGTTCAACTGCTGGGTAGCCTTGACCTTGATGGCATCAAGGGTGGCACCAATGTCTCCACTGTGCTCAATCAACAGGTCTGAGAGCCAGTTGTCAGTGTTGGTGAAGCCCATCTGGAGCATTTGGTCCAGGCTTTGCTGGATCTTCAAATCTGAAAGGTTACATAAAACATTGGTTAGAAGAAGAATCTTTTAGTTTGGCGAATATACATAAAACAGTAAGGAAAATCTTCTAGTGAACCAAAGTGAGCTTAAAATCAGGCTTAGAATGCTATTCTTAAATTCTGTTAAAATATTTTAATCTTTGTTTACAAGCAGTTTAACAACATGTACAGGGTGTAACGTTAACCTTTCTATCAGCCAAATAGAAGGAGAACGTCCCCGGATTCTTTTTTCGGGGTCATATGCAAATGCCTTACGGCCTAAGTGGATGAACACTTAACACAACGACCACTAGGGCTCGAAATTAATGTCTAGGGGAGCTAGTGATACTATTGTAATTAACACTCATCCAATCTACATACGACCATTTAATCAGCGAACTCAGATGTGGCAAAACACCAAGATGAACTAGATAAAATATTTAATGTATAAAATATCAAAAACCCAACTTACACAATGTAGGAAAAAACACTATCACAGATTTCTACACTGTCTAAAGAACAGCTACAGGCCACACAACACTGCTGCAGCTTCAAGACTTACTTAGCGACAAGTAATATTAAACTAGAAGACTAAATCAACTGAAGAAAGCAAGGCACACACAGGTCTTAAGTACTCTCACGTTCAAATGGTCAGAGTCTATAGCCGGACAAAATGGACGGCTGCCTGACTAAGGTAAAACGGCCTCGTAGACTTTTAGGTCAAGAAAAACTGCCTCGTGTTGCGAGTTTGCAGGGCAATTAAAGACTTCTGTGACAGGGGAGGTTATCCTCAACTCATGTCGCCATTGGTTGGGATAATCATCTGATCAGAATCATTCAATCAGATTTTAATGGAAATTTTCTATGTCTCAAACACCTTAATAGTCAATGGAAAAACCCCAGGTGTTACACCATCATTCCATATAAGGAATTATACAATGTCAAAATAAAAATGACTCGACCTAAGTAGGTCACATCCCCTCCCTTTTTGGAAGTGACAGATAGGTTCCACAAAAAAATACATAAGGAACCAATCTGGCAATGAAATAACAAAAATGTCTTATAAATGTAGGCAATCAAAATCATAATACCAGATGAAAATATCCCTGAACATAAAAGGGAAGTAACTCCAACTTTTACAATTGGTGAAAGGGGAGTAACCCTTCAAAAAGTAATTATACATCAAAATCCCTCAAAAAAGGGTATTACAATTTTTCCATGAGAATATTAAAAGTGGTAAACCCGCCAGGGTAAGACCTTTATTTCAATGACTAGCTACAATATCAATTGAGTCATATGAGACATATTATTATAACAGATTACATATAATCAAAAACTACCTTTAATTAAGGTTCACCTGAAAATAAACAAAATATTCAACAGGATTGGAATTTTGAAAAATTCTAACTCACACCACTCATTTTCATATGAGTGACACTCAAACAAAACCTGTTTATGGTCCTAATGAACCACAAAGCATGTCACATGATCAATGTGTGTAACAAGATTTTACATCCTTGACAAACAATCAGCCACAACATTATCACTACCCTTAATGTGTGAAATTTCCAGATTAAAATTTTGGAAATATAAGCACCATCTCAATATTCTTTGATTTGTCTGTCCTAACTTAGAGGTAAATTTCAGGGGATCATGGTCAGAAAACACTCTGACTGGATTGGTTGAAGAAGAGACCTAGACTTCAAAATGTTGTAATGACAAAACCAAAGCTAAAGCTTCTTTTTCAATAGTAGAATAATTCTTTTGGTTTTCATTTAACTTCCTGGAAAAAAAGGCAATGGGATGGTCAATTCCCATGTTGTCTTCTTGAAATAGGACTGAGCCAATGGCTAAGTTGCTAGCATCAATGGCAAGTTTAAAGGGCTTGCTGAAATTTGGTGCAGCCATAACAGGAGCATTAGATAGAAATGACTTAATGGTTAAAAAAGCTTCTTGACATTTATCTGACCATTCAAACTCAACACCCTTTTTCAATAATGCAGTAAGAGGTTCAGCAATAGCTGAAAAGTTTTGACAGAACCGCCTATAGTAACCAGCCATCCCAAGGAACTTTTTGATCTCTTTACAATTTTTGGGAGGTGGTAACCTTACAATAGCATCTACTTTAGCTTCAATGGGCCGAACTTGGTTCGTTCCCACTTGATAACCCAAATAGGTAATTGAAGCTTTACAGAAATCACTTTTATGTAAGTTTACAGTAAAATTAACTTCAGACAATTTTCTAAAAAGGTTAGTCAATTGAACAATATGTTCTTCAAAAGTATTAGAGAATACAACTATATCATCTATGTAGGCCTCACATTGGTCTATGTCAGCAATGACAGAGTTAATGACCCTCTGGAAAGTTTGACCAGCATTTCGCATACCAAAGGGCATGCGTTTGTATCTATAAAAACCATTAGGGGTTACAAAAGCAGATATTTCTTTTGCACGGTCAGATAAGGGGATTTGCCAGTATCCTGAAAGTAAATCAATCTTGGAAATTATCTTAGCCTGACCAACTTTATCAATAACGTCTTCTATCCGAGGTAATGGATAGGAATCAGCTTTGGTGAGCGCATTCACCTTCCTAAAGTCGGTCACAAACCTGAAAGATCCACCGTCTTTCGGGACTAGGAGACATGGGGAACTCCAGTTGCTGAAACTGGGCTCAATGATATTCTTGAGCATATAATCAATTTCATCTTTTATCAAAGCAGCTTTTTCCGGGTTAACTCTATAGGGGTGTTGTTTAATGGGTTTTGCGTCACCAACGTCTACATCATGAGGTGGTACTTTCGCTTCTTTGGGGACATCCCCAAAAATAGAGGGAAATGTCTCAAATAACTGAGACAATCTATGGCTTTCCTCTGTGGACAAATGCATAAGGTGGACATTCAAATTATCTAAAAAGGAAGAATTTACCAATTTTGGGGGTTTCAATTTATCATGTATCACATCATCAGAAACATTTGAACATACAGGTAAAGTAGTTTTAGCTGTGGATTGAAAATTGTTACAATTATCATATTTTTTTAGTGAGTTGACATGATACACTGTCTGTTTCTTTCTTCTGTCGGGCGTATTGACAACATAGTTCAAATCACTTAATTTTGAATGCACAGTAAAGGGTCCACAATATCTCAAGGATAACGCATTGTTCAGATTAGGCACTAGCACAAGAACTTTGTCGCCTGGATTGAATGTTCGTTTACAAGAACTCTTATCATACAGTTCTTTCATTCTAACTTGGGCCTTTCTTAAGTTTTTGTGAGCCATTTCGCACACGGCTTTCAGTCGAACGTGAAAATCGTCGAAGTTTTCCACAGGATGATCACTGGTACCTGTCCAACGTTCGTGAATCAGCTTCAGGGGGCCACGGACAGAATGTCCAAACACAAGTTGAAAAGGCGAGTAGCCTAAAGAGTCCTGGACACAGTCCCTCGCGGCGAAAATAATCCAAGGAACAGACTCATCCCATTGGGTGTTACTATTAGCGAATGTCCTTAGCATGGTTTTGAGGGTTTGGTGGAACCTCTCAAGTACGCCTTGAGACTGAGGGTGGTAGGCTGAGCTGGTGATGTGGGTAACGCCTAGCTTGGCTAGCGCTTCCTGAAAATGGTGACTGGTGAAGTTGCTGCCTTGATCTGTTTGCACAATTCTAGGTAATCCAAAGGTAGTGAAGAACCGGGTCATGGCTCTGACTACAGTCTTTGCCTTAATGTTCCGTAAGGGAATCGCCTCGGGAAAACGGGTACTTGAACACATAAAGGTAAGTAGGTACTCGTTGCCCGCCTTGGTTTTAGGCAAGGGACCTACACAGTCCATGACGATTTTAGAAAAAGGTTCTTCTAATACAGGAATCGGACTCAAAGGGGCCTTAGGAATTGTCTGGTTTGGCTTTCCGGCCAACTGACAGTTCGTGCAACTTCTACAGTAACGCGACACATCTTTTCTCATTTTGGGCCAAAAGAACAGTTCTTTGATCTTCGCCGTCGTTTTAGTGACTCCTGGGTGCGCTGACATTGGATGGTCATGTGCCAGCTTAAGTATTTCATGCCGATAAGGTGGAGGGACCCACAGCTGGTTTTTACCCAACCATGGTTCGGCCGGTGAGGCAATCACTGGTATAGCGCGACGAAAGAAGAGGCCGTTCTCGGAGAAATATTCTCCATCGTCAGATGATAGAGATTTTTCGACCGTTGCTTTGAGTTCCGCGTCGACTTGTTGAGCTTTAATGATGTCTTCCTGAGATATTCTCAGGGGTAAGCCCAGACTTGTATTTTCTGGAAGCATAGACTCCAGTTTGAGAGTCGAATTTCTTGACGATGACGGCGGGTGTGGTTCAGACGTTGTGTCAGCCAATTGTTTGGTCTGGCTTCTTGTCACCGCACATGCTGGATACAGTTCATTATCATTATCTGGAACTGTTGACAAAGGGTCTGAAACCGTACAGGGGTATACTTTGCTTCCCGCAAGGTCATTCCCTAGAAGTAGGTGTACTCCTGGGACAGGAATACTATCTATCACACCTAAAATGACCTCACCTTCGACGAGATGATGTTTCAGGGCAAACTTGTGTAGAGGGACGACAGTAGATTTTGTCCCCACTCCCTGGATAATGGAAATCTTTCCGGTGTTCGTCTCTGGTGTAATGTCCATTGAACTTTTCAAAAGGAGTGATTGTGACGCTCCTGTGTCTCTTAGAACGGTGATATTCTTCTGAGACGACGGATCACCTGGTTTGCTAATGATGGCTTCGGCAATAAAAGATGAAAAGTCAACTTTTCTCGATCCCTCGAGATCGGTAGACTCGGCAGAAACTGGATGGTGGCGAGAACAGTCAAAATGTGACTGCACATAATGTGTGGAGACTTGACTACCTTCTTGCGGACACTTAGGGTTAGAGTTCTTTTGAATTCTAGAGTTCATAGTTGAACTGGCTGCTTGAGGGGATAGAGCATAGTGCGCAGAAGTACGCACCACCTCTCTGTTATATTGACGACGTTTGTAACAGTCCTTGACAAGATGACCAGGCCTTTTGCAGAACTGGCATACTGCTCGACGATTGAGAGTTGATCTTGGTTTCTCTCTGGACTGTAATGCCTTCACGTGTTGGCCAACAGGAGGATTGCTGCCAAAAAGGGGAAGCACGGGGTTGAGGCGATTTCCTGACACTGGTGGTTTCTTATGCACCAACATATAGGTGTCAGCCGACTCAGCAGCCTTCTGGATGTCAGTTATCTTGTTATCCAGTATGTGTAGTCGTATCTCTTCAGGCAGGGACGATAGGAATTCTTCCCTTAGGATAAGTGACCTGAGTTTCTCAAACTCAGAAACTTCCTCAGAGTGTAGCCACCTTGAGAATATTTTCTCCTTTTCAAAGAGAAATTCCACATATGATTGTGTGGGTAACTTGCGGAGTGTTCGGAATTTTGTCCGATAGGCCTCGGGCGTCAGTGCGTAGGCCTTCAAAATGGCAGTCTTGACCAAACTATAGTTATTTTGAACGTCGTGAGAGAGTGCCTGGTATGTTTTTGCAGCTTTCCCAGTAAGGACAGAGCTCAATAAAGCAGTAATGGAAGTTTCGGGCCATTCACATGTCTTCGCTAAACTCTCGAACGAGTTAAAGAAAACGACCAAATCTGTTTCATCAAATTTAGGAACTAATTTCCCAAATTTGGCAATCACTTGCCCTACCGACAACTTTTTTGGATCTACCAGAGAAGTGACATCACTAACTTGACCAAACTCTAATTCCAACCTCCTCTTATCTAAAGCAATTTTAGCCTCTAACTCCTGTTTCTCTAGAGCACTTTTAGTTTCAAACTCCTTTTCTTTTAATAGAAGCTCCCTCTCTTCTATAGATTTCTCCTCGCGGAGCAACACACTAGCTAACAAACTTTCGTCAAATACTCCTTCATTAATGAAATGAACAACAATTTTATCTCTCAACACCTCTGACTTCTGCGTAACAGAATAATCCAATTTCAATTCCTTAACAACACTAACCAAAACTTTTCTACTCAACTTTTCTACATCTTCAACAGTAGGATTAGCCAAAAACGACTCCATAACACTAACTTTCAAATCACAACAAGCCTAGGTTCACTAACTTAGCACGGTGAGTTGGGCCGTGTACTTGACCTCTAAATGTAGGACGTGACACGTCTGCTTATTTGACCTAGATACCCTAGCCTGAGCGCGCGTTGTAAGACCACGGCGCTACACTGGATAAAAAAAACAACTAGACCAGACTAAACTTAGTATTCAACTGATATAACCAACAACTGGAACGACAGATTAGATCTCGGCGAGCTCCCACTTTGTAACGTTAACCTTTCTATCAGCCAAATAGAAGGAGAACGTCCCCGGATTCTTTTTTCGGGGTCATATGCAAATGCCTTACGGCCTAAGTGGATGAACACTTAACACAACGACCACTAGGGCTCGAAATTAATGTCTAGGGGAGCTAGTGATACTATTGTAATTAACACTCATCCAATCTACATACGACCATTTAATCAGCGAACTCAGATGTGGCAAAACACCAAGATGAACTAGATAAAATATTTAATGTATAAAATATCAAAAACCCAACTTACACAATGTAGGAAAAAACACTATCACAGATTTCTACACTGTCTAAAGAACAGCTACAGGCCACACAACACTGCTGCAGCTTCAAGACTTACTTAGCGACAAGTAATATTAAACTAGAAGACTAAATCAACTGAAGAAAGCAAGGCACACACAGGTCTTAAGTACTCTCACGTTCAAATGGTCAGAGTCTATAGCCGGACAAAATGGACGGCTGCCTGACTAAGGTAAAACGGCCTCGTAGACTTTTAGGTCAAGAAAAACTGCCTCGTGTTGCGAGTTTGCAGGGCAATTAAAGACTTCTGTGACAGGGGAGGTTATCCTCAACTCATGTCGCCATTGGTTGGGATAATCATCTGATCAGAATCATTCAATCAGATTTTAATGGAAATTTTCTATGTCTCAAACACCTTAATAGTCAATGGAAAAACCCCAGGTGTTACACCATCATTCCATATAAGGAATTATACAATGTCAAAATAAAAATGACTCGACCTAAGTAGGTCACAAGGGAAACAATATAAAACTACTGCTAGGAGCAACTAACATTGAGACTTCTCTGTTCAGTTTTTATTCAGAAGAGAAACCAATTAAATCAAATGTTTATACTTACTAGGGTAAATGGCTCTGGCTGGCTGGGAGGTTGAAGTGGGCTCTGGAGCTGATGGAACAACTTCAGGCACCCTGTCAGGCTCACGTTGAGGGGGTGGGGGCATGGGGATTGGTGCAGAGCCAGCCACGGTGAAGGTTGGTCCAGTTGTTTTCTCTCTGATGTCATCTGGGGCAAGGAAGGTCCATTCATCTCCAGAGTGCTCACTTTCAGCCTGAGGAAACATTATGTTTCTTGTTTACCTTATACATCTTCACATAAACATGACATCTTTAAACTTCTTTCCTTATCAACAAACAAATACTTAAAAAGCTATGTAAAAAAAATAAAACAAAAGCTATGAAATTTTTTTTTTTTTACCTTTTTAGGTTCTTGCTTGCCAGCGGGTTCAGCTGCATCAGTCTCCATCTCTTTTTGCTCAGGCTCCTTTGGTCCAGGTGCTGGGGTATCTTGCTGAGACCTGCGGCTCATCCCTTCCCAGGCAGGGCATCTGCCCCCTCTAGACCAGCCACGATGGCACCCTCCACGCTGGAACTGCTGGTTGCCATGGTGAATGTCATAGGTCACATCAATGCCTGCAATTACATATTCTCCAATGAAAACTCCAATTCTTTAATTCACTGCTAGTTAAATTAGTTGTATATTTTGTTTGCCATTCTATTTATAAATGTGTTGTATAGTATATCTATATAAAATCAAATTGGTCAGCTGTTGGTTGGGGCAGTAGCCGGCGCCACAGAAGTTTCTAATTTGGTAGACTTGTCTCATTCTTATATAAAAGGCACAATGTTTATTTTTAAAAATGTGTACTTAATATTATTGGTGTATCATTAAACTGTTAGTTGTTCAGCTAAAATTAAAAACATGTTAACATTTTGGACTAAAGCTGAACATACACTCACCAAAAGGGTCCAGAAAAGCTGCAATGTTGGCTCCAACACCATTCAGGTATTCATCATAGGATGGTTTATCCTTCTCTTCTTTTTTGTCATCTGCTGCGGCCCCTCCATTTGGTGCTGGTGGAAACCCAGGCATTGGTCCAGGTGCTGCCCCTGGGGTCATGTTCCTCATACAACGTTGGAAATAACGGCCAATGTGAGGTGGCAGAAAACTCTGAAAATAGTGCAATTCACATCATGTAGCAGGAAAACTTTTAGAACAATTTACATCATACAAACAAAAAATAGTTAGAAAATTATTAATTTAAAAAACAATTGAATTAAAAGTTAAATAAAAAAAAAAAAATCTCCACCTACCATTGGGCTCACACGAGGTGTGGTGATCCTGAACATGTCATGCTCTGTGTGCTTGCCATTGCCTTCACAAGTCTGGCACAAATCATAGTCAGGACACACGCAACATTTGAAGCGAATCCCAATGACCGGTCCCTCACACCCATCACAAGTGACACCAACATGGACTGGCCCTTCTGGACCTCCACTTTGTGATGGCCTTGGTCCATGGCTGGCGCCTGGCTGTTGTCCCTCAAATGGTTTTTCCGCCTGGGGTGCCTGTTTTGGCTGCTCCTGTGGCTTTTTAGGCTGGGTACTAGCAGAAGCTGAATCTGTTCCTTGAGACTCTGAAATAAAAAATGGGGGTTCAGTATTTGTCTTTTTATTAATTCAAAATAGTTACCACTAAAATTGTGTTTATTCATTGAACTGCAAGTGTCAATATAGATTAGCCAACCTTGGATGTAGACTCGTAGAACTCCATCAGTGGCATAAGACATTGCATCCTTCATTTCTTCAGTAGTTGAGAACGCAATTCTATCTCCGTCAGGATCTAAAAATAGATATTTTGATAATTATTTTAATGAACATATTCCTTGGAGTAAACAAAAACTTGAATCAAGAATACTTATACAATAGGCAAATAAATTATATCCTTAATAAAGTATAGGCCCTAGTGTAAGGGCATTTTTATAAAACTATACCGAGTATAGTTCTATAACAAAGTATATTCAAGATTGAAACTAAGTTACCTTGCCAAAAGAGCAGAAAATTGCCATGGGATAGTGATGAGTACAGCTGTCTTATCTTCTCTTTAGTGGTGTTGAAAAAGTCAGTTCCTGCTGACACATCCACAGGAAACCTGCGGATCTCAGCTGGTCCATTGGTTTTCTCAAAAAATACTTTAACTGTCAGCGACATTTCTGTATTTTGAAAAAAACAAAACAAATTCATAACAATTTTATGTATAGGCCTACAATTAGCCTAATACAAAACAATTAAATCAGTTAGCCTGATTAAATAGATAAATTTAGTCTTGAGTACTGTTGAGTCTGTAATTGTAGAGTGTATTATAATAATAGCATTGAGTATAATAATAGATCTAGATCTAGATAGTGTTTACTGTACTACTGTGCACAGATCTAGAATCTACAGTGTTTATTAAAGTTTAGATCTAGTTATTAGTTATTAAACTATTAGTCTATTAGTATTAATAGTTTAGACGCCCTAAAGATTAGCACTTAAATAATAGATCTAAATAAAATAGATCTAGATTCTAGATCTAGATTCTAGAAGTAAGAAGACCAGAAGATCTAACTAACTATTGGTAACTAATAATACTGGAATCTAGACCTAGATTCTAGATCTAGATCTCTAGATCTAGTCTAGTAGATCTAGAGTTAAACTATAGTATAGACTATTATAGTTAACTATAGTATAGTCTACTGTTAGGCCTAGTAACTAAATCTAGATCTAGAAAATAGTAGTATTAGATTAATTAGAATCTTGTATAATACTAGATCTATAGGCCTACTATAATAATAATATAATATATATTTGTCTTATTTGAGGGTAATGAGGGCATTATTAAAAAAATATTAAAATTAAATTCTAGGCCTAGGCCTATTTTAAACTATTTTTATTTTAAAATGCTAAAATTTAAAAATAAGTTTAGGCCTTAAAACTTAAGTTGAATTTAAATATTAGCCTTTTTTCTAATAGTAATATATGTGTCTAGTCTACTGTCTAGTCTAGATGTAACTAATGACAAAGTTTACCGTGGGATTATTGAAATGATGGTCAACGGCTGCACTTGGTTTAGCTAAGTTTAGTGTAGATCTCCTTGATGATTGAGCTAGTGTTGTCTGTTTCGTCTGTAAACGAACTGCGATTTTATATACACCTGCGTAGCTGAATCTCGACGGTTCCATCAATGGATGCGAAGCGCTGAATCATGTCACGTGACATTAATAAATAAACAGTGTCATTTTCTAAAAATAGTTGCCTTACGCAATTAGTATGCCAGTTTGGTTGTAAGTGTTTAAAGATCTATTCTACAAAATTCAATAAGTTAACTAGGTATTATTTTAAATTAACATGCAAGCTGCATAAAGCTTATAATACATTGATTCAAATATCCCAGAAAAATAATCTTAATAATATTAGGGAAACATTTATTGTTTTAATATATTTCTTTAAAAAATCCTGGCCAATTTTATGTCGGTCTTCTATTTTGCTTGTAACGAATGATTCGGTGAAATCGACATTTCAAGTAGTCATTTCCTTCTCCTCCTATCCCTCCCCAACTTTGCTGTGTACAAATCATTGTCGAAAAAAGGGTTTTACCACACATAGTCCTCAATTAGAAATTACGTGTACATTGTAAATCAGACATTATTTTGGGAACAAGAGTTCACGACGACGATGTGTAATTTTGGAAATTAGGGACTTTCCGGTTAAGTGTATCAGTTCTTAAAATATATAGATTCTAGATCCAGAATCTAGATCTAATAAATTTCCCATCAGAACTATTTTCTAAAATTGTGTAAATAAAACGTTTAGGCCTACTATTAAGAAATTTTATGTTTTCGGGGCCTGCTTTATAGCAGATGTTTTAGCAAACAAGATAAGCAGATGTAGGGCCTAACGAATTTGAGGGTTTTTTAACGGTTAATTAAACTGTCCTTACATTATAAGATATATAAATTATAACCACGTATATATAATATATAGTCTACGATTATCTTAAGAGAAGGCCGAATGTTTGAGCAATTAATGCAACTCTGGAAATAATTAACAAGACTAGATCGATCCAAGTAGGGGGTAATGAGAACCTGCAGTGACTGATATAAAAATAAAACACGCACCTCTATATTCTCTAACACTATTATCAAAGAGGGTAAATATAATAATCACCCCAACCCTGTAATTGTAGAGTAAAATTAAATGATATATTATTGTATTTATGTGTTTGATTTTCACAGGTTTCTAGATTCTAAATTGAGTTGCATACCTGCATTTCTTTTTTTTTTTAACTCACAAACACATAATTGTCACACACATAAGCATACACACACATATATGTACAATATATATATATATATATATATATATATATATATATATATATATATATATATATATATATATATATATATATATATATATATATATATATATATATATATATATATATATATATATATATATATATATATATATATATATATATATATATATATATATATATATATATATATATATATATATATACACATATACATATACATATATATATATATATATATATATATATATATATATATATATATATATATATATATATATATATATACACATATACATATACATATATATATATATATATATATATATATATATATATATATATATATATATATATATATATATATATATATATATATATATATATATATATATATATATATATATATATATATATATATATATATATATATATATATAATATTGTATTCTTTACTTTTTAACCTCAATTTGTGATGAACGTTCGAGAGACTTGTAGAGTTCAAAAGAAAGTATTACGTGTTTCTATAAATAAACACCCGCGCCTGCGCAGCAGTGTGTTTTGATCGTTTGCAGCATGACTCATGCGTCCTTACTGCGTAGTTTGCAGTAACAATGTTCACAACGCATGCGCATAACCTTGAAGGCTCCGCAGCAGTGACCTTACATCTCATTAGATTCAGGGGCCGTAGCAAGAATATTTTTTTTCTCAGTTTCATAAATTACAAAACACTCCTACATATGCGTAAATGTAAGTGATCATGCACAGTTAAAACATGATCGTGCACATTTAAAACATTAACATTTAAATGTTTTCCACCCCAACACGCCTCTAATGTTTTTTTTTTTTGGTAGCTCTACTCTATAGAGACCGTCTCTACTCACATTGAAAGGTCTATCTAGATCTAGATCTAGTGCTGTAGTAAAATAAGTAAAGTAAGTAGATAGATCTAGATCTAGATCTAGTAGTAGTAGTTTTAGGTGGCGATTCAATAACGTTATAAAAAAAAACACTACTTAAATAATAGCAAGAAGATCTGGCTGCAATAAGAAGAAACAAAATCCGTTTTACCTTAGTCAAAAAAGTTATTATAAATATGATATATATTATAATGTAGTTGCAATTTAAATCATTTAAAAACCCACCAATCACTACAAAAAGTATTGTGACATTTTTGTAACAAATTTCATTGTTTTGAGACAGCCCCCCGACAAAACTGGTTCAGTGGAAAAATTCAGCCACGCAGCTAGCCTCGTGACTTCAACTTTGATGAGTCATGCGACACTTGCGTCAGCCGACAACGCAGGTCTGCTGGGTATATAAGCTTCGCTGGGAGCTACGCAGCTCAAACGACGCAGCAGACTACTCAGCAAAGATAAAGCGACATCGACAAGACTACACAAGAGCAAGAAACTGTTGTTGATTTAGATCTACTTTGCCATACAATTTTATACGTAAGTTAAAGTATTATAGAATAATCTAGATCTAGATAAGATCTAAAATCTAAATCTAGACTCTAACATTAGATCTAGATCTAACTATATTCTACTAGATTTTACTAGATCTAGATCTAGGCCCTCTACTCTAGACTCTAGATCTAGAAGTCTAGACTCTATCTAGAATAGATCAGATCTAGATCTAGATTCCTTTCTTCTAATTAATAGTCTAATAAACATTTTACTTTTAGACATCGCACAGCAATCATCTTCACGTTTTAATAACATGTTGTTACATCAACATAATAAAAGTTAGTAATAAAGAACTTTAATACATTAATATTAATAAAATAGGTTAAGAAAGAATCAACATCGACGATTGACCATGGAAGTAACTTTGAAAGCCTTCCTGCCAAGAGGGGGATCTACTGAAGCACGAAGAATCCCTATTTCTTTGCCAGACGCAAACGGTAGAGGCATTTTTAAACAAGCCACTGTAAAAATCAGCCAAAGTTTCCCTGATTTAAAGGCCAAATATTTTAATCTAATGTGGAAAGGTAAGTACATAGTTTAACAAATTACCTTTTAGGCCAAGGCCACAATAAAACAGTATAGATCTATGGGAAACTACTCTTAAAATGCATTTAGAATTTTCATACACTGAATAATCTACCCTAAAAAATTAAAAAATGAACTTATTTTTAATTTTGTTTTCATTATATTTTTATTGTGTTCGTCACTTATTTGTACATTTATTTTAAAGCTACGGTAATATTACTTTGGTTTTCTAGTTAATACAAATGAAATGGTTTTTATCAGATGCTGATGGGGATGACATTGTCATGTCAACTGATGAAGAATTGCTGGAAGCCCTATCACATACAGCAGGCTCTCCACTCAAGGTTTATATTTTAGGTACATTTCTTTCTCTGTTTAATTACCACAATTTGTTAAGTTTCAGCTTTTTATTTATGTGAAAACTAATTAAGATTTAAATGTAATCAGATTATATTACTGCTAATATAAATTATTACAATTACTGCTAATGTAAATTTTAATTTTTGTGTGAGTTTTATGATTAAGATTTCTATAATTTTCAGTTGAAGGCGACAAAGAGAAGGTTTCAGAAACTGATGCGGAAGCCACAAGTGAAGATCAGCCTAGAAGAGCAAACCATGAAAGAGAAGATGAATGGCCATTTATGTTCCCTAATGGGGGATGTGAAATCCCATTTGAGAATGTGAATGTTCCACCATTTCCTCCTTGTGACAGGGAAGATTTCTGTCAAGAGATGAATGGTGGCAAGAAGAGGAGGCATCATGGTCATCATGGTGGAATGCATGGTCATGGTCCTTTTGGAGGGCATGGACCATTTGGAGGACATGGACCATTTGGAGGACATGGACCTTTTGGATGTGGAGGGCATGGTCATTTTGGTGGACATGGTGGTCATGGACCTTTTGGAGCTCATGGACCTTTTGGAGGTCATGGACCTTTTGGTGGACGTGGTGGACATTGTTCTTTTACTGGGCGTGGAGGTCATGGACCTTTTGGTGGACAGGGACCTTTCTTTGGTCATGGGCCATTTGCTGGACCTCACCAGGCTTTCATGTTTGGAAATGTCCATGAAGGATTTTATCCCCATCGCAAAGAAGAAAGAAAAGGAGAAAAAAAATGGAAAGCAAATTTGAGGGTAAGATTTTTCAAATATTTTTATTGATCTTAAAATCATAGCCTTTGTGATATTTTTTCATTTTTTCTTTGTTAGTTTTTTTTTATAATTTGTTATTATGTGTAATATTTATTTTAGGATTCCATCCCAATTTTGCATCGTCGCTGGGCAAAGAATTACATCAGAGACTGGCGTGTGACACATCTGACAAACGCCACCACAACAAGCAGTGAAAGTGATGAGGAGAGATTGACCATGGCATCGGCTAGTGTCCCTGAGGCATATGCTAAGTGGCTGGATCAACTTTTGCCCAAGTGGCACAAGAGATGGGGCCAGTACAAGAAAAGTAGTGAAAGTGCTTCAGACAACAGTGACAGTGAAGCCGAGTCTTCAGAGGATGCTAAACAGCTCAAGGTATGATCTATACTGGGTTGAATCTATTTGTTGTAGAATTTCTTGAAATCATGTAGTAATATTATCATGGGATTATTCTAAGGCAGATATACTTAGCAAATAAATATTTAGACTTAAATTCTATTAATTTATATATTACAAAGAGAAAAATATTTACAAAAAATGTATCTTTTGGGTAGGCTGCAAAAACAAATGTACTGTGCTATAAAAATTGCTCATCAAATGTCAACTATTTTTTTTTTACTCTTAGGCCTCTGTTCCCAAAGAATTCCGCAAGTGGGTGAGATGGTATTTGGCAAGGCACTTCAGCCAGAAAGAGGCCCCAAAGTTTCACCATGAAAACTTTCCACATGTCCCTGGCTATGACAAGATGTGCAAAAAGTTTGGGAAAAAGGCATGGAAGAAAGCTTGCAAGATGAACACACTTAATGTGAGTGCTTAACATTAAAATATCAATTCAAGAACTTTTGCAAATGTCTTTGCTATATTTAAAAAACATTAGACTGTAATTTTATTTTTTTGTTCCCATTACATCTGTTGTAGAAAAGCTATGAACATTTAAGGTTATAATTTTTTGTTAGGATCAGGCTTATGAAAAACTTGAAAGTGTCTTGTAGATATTTAAATATGTGCTGAAATTTGCCAGAATGTAATCATTTATTGAATGATATTACAGGGTTCAGTGCCATTGAAATACAGAGCTTGGGCGAGGGCATTTATCAGGCAGTGGCGCCTGGAGAACAAACTGTCTCAGGCTCCAGGAGCCTCCTCTAGTGAGAGTGAGGATACTGAGAAAGACATTGTGCAAGGGGAGATCACTGTACCAAATGATTATGAGAAGTGGATGCAAAAATTCCTAGTCAAATGGCACTCCAGAAGAGGTGTGCTGGAAGGGAGACAGATGGAGATTGAAGGGATGGCAGAGTTAAGGGTATGTGTCATTGTAGTTAAAAGCCGTCTTTTTAGTGCTGTATATTTCTATAATACAATTGTCTTGTAATAGCTAACATTTTCCAAAGCAAATTTAATTATATAAGTATTTAAATATTTTTCAGGCTACTGTTCCCTGGGATTTCCGCCATTGGGTAAAATGCTACATGTATCATCGCTACGCAAATCCACGGATTTTTGGACAGACAGACACAGCCAGCCAGTATCAGAAATGGTTTGCCGCCTTCCAAAAGAAATGGCTGAGTGAACAAAGCAAGGACAGTAGCAGCGAGGATGACGCCTCAGCTACAAAACCAGCAGGTACAAAAATTATGTTACGATATAAAAATACTGTTGATTACTTATAAGGCCAGGGTGTATTAAAGCTTATTTGTTGGTACTAGTACCCTGATCAAAGCCCTTAGGAGTAGTAGTCAATACCTTCGTCAACTAACACAGTAGTTGAAATTACAAACTTTAAAATAAATACATTTTAAAATAAATGTATAACAATATGGTTTTATTTTATTTTTAAACTTGAAATAGGTTTGACATTTTTTAAAATTTGATTTGAATACATTTAATTTAGTATAATCATGACTTAACAGTTCACTTTATTTCATAATGCAGAGAAAGAAGTAGAAAAATCCTTCAAGCGTCTCCGTTTAGAGGAAAATGGCAAGCAGAGTAAAAATGTCACTTTTGATTCAGCAGCAAATGAAAGTGAGAAGAAATCTGACACAGCGGAAACCTGTGAAAAAGACTGCAGAAAACCTTTTCACCACAAAAAGGTAAGAAGCCTACCTCCTTTTGACTTCAGAAACTTTTGTAAATATGTGTCATCAATACACTTTAGTTTAATATCCATATATTTATATAAATTTTGAACTTTTGGTAGGCTATATATAAAACTTTTTTCAACAAAACAGTAGTAAAAAAAAAGGGTTTTTGTTGTGAAAATAAATATCATTTACAGGAACTTTTAAAAAAAATTTAATAAACTTTATAAATTGTAACAGTGTTTGAAACCTAATTAATTTTGTTTTATCTTCTTGTTTCAGATGAACCCAGGCCTCCATCACTGGATGAAAGAAGCCTTGTATCAGTGGGATGGGAAAACTCCAAGTGACACATCAGAACAGGCCAATCCAGATCAAGACATTCCTCCACACATGTACCACTGGATGACCAAACTGATGATGAAGATGCAGATGAAGAAGATGAAAAAAGAAATGAAGGGTGCCAAGAAAGAGATGAAAGCAGCATGGAAAGCTCAGAAATTTAACATGTAAAACAGAACTTGGGGATGGCTAATCTGAGCATTAGTTTATTTTTATCACCCAGATTGGTGGCAATAGATAGCTTGAAGAAAACAAAGGATTTTGTTTTTACTTTATAGTTACCTGTAATCATCTTGTAGTAGTTTTGTAGGCTACTTTTTCATTCTTAATGTAGAAAAATTCTGTTAGAACATAACAATGTATGTTTTTTCTGCCAATTTTTTTAAGACATGATGGGTGTACATTTATTTAAGAGGGCAATTTCTAAATTTTGGATGTTTCACATTTTTTTTAATGAAGCTATATTTTTGGAAAATTTTAATGACTAATTTAATTCATAACTTAAATTAAAAATTCCAAACATTAACATTTTTAAAAATTGTGTAATACTTATTATTTTTTTTATATGACATATTTTACATGTACAAAATTTGATGTTCATGTCTATAATTTTTATGTAAGAATTAGATGCCAATGGTTTGGCGTTGAACAAAATATAATGACTCACCTGAAAATCTCTAGTTCATTACCCAGGCACCAGTAGTAAATAGTGCCTGGATCAACTCATTCTATAAAGGGTACCTGACTAGTCAGAGAAAGTAAACATAGCTGGGCATAGTGACAATCATACAATCCCTTTGTAAGCAAAGATACATAAACATTACATGTGAACTCTACCTGTAATACAGACCATCAAATTAGAAAGGGGTCTAACATTAGAAATTAGTATTACATTTTAATTCTGTATAGAACAATGTTTAATTAGATTTTTTTTCTAATAAAAAAAAAAATTTTGTAAGATTTTAAGAGTTACTTGAAGACAGAAAAGAATTTTTGTGCAACCAGATTTTTAAATAATTTTTTTATTTATACTCCAGCACAATGTACCATATATGATTTTCACCATTATTTTACATCAAAGATTTTAAATGGCAAAAAATTTAAGTTGTTTGAAATATATTTTCATTTATATTAATATTTTTAACTTACTGATAAAATTACATTTTGTTTTTTACTACATTGTTGTAACTATTTCTTTAGATATTAAAATTGCAAAAAAAAATTTAAAAAATTGAATTGTTTCATTTATTACTTGTCATGTTATTTATATGCCTATTTATCAGCAAATGAGACCTCATTCATTTATGAATGGAGCAATTTGTTTTTAAACGATAGAACTATTGGTGCATATGACTGTTTTTTGTTTTAGCACATTTAACATATATTTAAATCTCAGAATTATGTATCTGTGGAATTTTCTGGAGATCTTCCTGCTCTAAATAAGACATTAGCTGAATGGCTTCATCAAGTAAAAAAAATAACTCTACACAAAAACAACAGTAAATCATATTATACCATGTTTTGTACCCAATTGACTAAATTTTCTCTGATTAAGACTTTAAATGCACATTATTTTAAAAAAAATTGATTCCTTCCTGATTCAAGATTCTGAACAAAAATATAAAACACATTTTGAACTGCAAATAAAGAGATTTTATTTTTAACAACTCCTGAACTCTACATGAAGTCCCAGTATAGCATAATAACAAAATAAAGGGGGTGATATGTACCCCTTCTCAGCTAAACCTTACCAGCAAAATAATTTTAAAGTTGCTACATGAGGAGTTAATTACAGTAAACCCTCATATAAATTTGTGTCTAATATAAAAAGTATAAATGAAATATTCTTTAATAAATGGTAGATAATGTGCAGGCCTTATTTAATTAAACAATGATGTGAATTCAAACAATTGCTGCACTCAAGTAGTTAATAGAAGAATGAAAAAGAAATTAAATATCTGAATATTGATTTTAAACAATTTTTTTTTGAAAATCCAATTTCAATTTTAATTTAATTACCTTAAAATTATATTATGTTGTTATATGTGCTAACATACACACATATACAGTGTTCCCTCATGAATCATGTGTGATCAACTTGAGGCCATGCAGAGTAAATGAATTTTATGGTAGGGTCGCAACACATATTTTAGTGTTATACATCATTTGTTAGAACTTATTTTCAGCATTTATAAATCTAAACAAAATCCTTATGCATAACCCTATCCCATTAACAATGATAACATTCACAACGGTACATGTATCATTTACTTAACTTCTATTTCTACCTAAATGTGCCAAAGCTAGTAAGAAAATGATGAGTCGCTATACAGTAACACTGACAATGGAGATTGAATGAATGTCCAGAAGTGTTACCGCTCTTCTAAAGATACCACTTTATCTGTTAGTTCAAGTTACGAACATGGTTATTTATGCCAGCTTCACTTGTTTATATACTGACTGCAGAATGACTAATCCCTTTGTAATGCTGCAACACATAAGGGCCACAATATTTCTCGCATATCTTTAAGTCTCACTTTTTTCATTCATAATCGGAAAATTCGCAAAATAGCTTTCCATCATAAACTGAGAGGGAACACTGTGTATTACATATGTGTGTATATATATGTGTGTATATATATTTATATCTATACATTATCAATAATATGTAATTCCAATAGGCTTACATCTAAAGGTTAAAATTTTTTTAATTATTTCAACAATATTGTAACTTCCTTATTTATCATTTAAACAGAAAAATCACTTCATGTTAATTAAATTAATATAAAACTATAATCATTATATACACAAAACAATAAATGAGTGATCGTAACAAGCTTAGATGGAAGTAATGATATACACATAATTTAGCACCAAAGGCAGACCAGTATTTACAGAAATCAATGTCATAATCACAGCACTAAAAGAGAAAATGATTTGCTAAGTTGCTGAACAGTTTAAAATTGTTTCCAAAATTTAGAGTACATGTTTTAATATTAAATAGAATAAGAGGATGAAATAGTTTTACAAAATATTTTTGTAATTGATAAAAGTTATATTTTAATTATGCTTCATCCCATTTTTAAGAAATACAGTTTAAATGCTACTAGTTGAATGATGTATCTACTAAGTAAATGAATTTAAAACATACATTGTTTACAAAAATAATTCAAAATACAAATTGGCATCATCATACAAAAATTAAATGCAGAAAAGATTAATAAAGGGAAAAATGTTAGTAACTGTTTACAAAATCAAAGTATATAAATAAATATACATTAAACATCTACAAGTTATATGACAGGCAGTACTACATTTCATGCTATTGAAAATTGCTAAATATGTCAACTCAGATTGTATTTAGGAAAAAATTTCACATTTTAATAATTTAAAAATCAGTTAAAAAACCCAAACTAACATACCCTAATATTTTCATAAATAGGAAATAAAAACCCTGACTTCTACCTCATGGATGGAGTAAAAAAACAGAAGATAATAAAAGTGTCACACTAATATATCAAGACAAACTCAAAGAATATTAATCTGTTACTAACTTAATAAACAACCATGAGGTGGAAAACAATGCTACTTTCTGTATACTTCAATGGTTAGTAAGAAATAATTGTACACAACATTAATGAGACTTGCACCATTTGCATATTCACTTAAATTTATAAAATCTTACCCAATGTACAGAAGAAAAATATTGTGTGACATAACAGAGCAGTTTTCAGTTATAAGTGGCCTTAAATAAATTTATTACTAAAATCTGATATGAGAGTGTTTCATCATCTATTTTCTTCTTGTTTGTGTTTTACATCCTTGTCATCAATATCTGGTTCCTTGTGTGTCATTTTTTGTTGTTCAGTCTTTTCTAAACTACCATCCACATTCCCTTCTACATTATCACTGGCATCCACATTCCCTTCTACACTATCTCTAGCGGCTACATTCCCTTCTACACTATCTGTAGCGGCTACATTCCCTTCTACACTGTCATGGATGGCTGTTGAGGAAACAAGAGCCTCAGGCATTAAAACAGGTTTTAAATTTGTGAACTGCACTGTGTCTAAGCAGACATCGAAGGAGTCAGCTTTGGGAACGTCCACAGATGAGGAGTCGTCACTACTGTCTTGTGATGTAAACAATAGTTTCTTGGTGTTGTTGGTGGTAGGGGATGATGCTGACAATTTTAGTTCATTGATAAGACGTTTGACTCCAACCATCCATTGACTGACCTACAAAATTTATTTAAAAATGACCAACCTGTATACTACTTTATACTACACAAACAATTACATATTTAATAATTAACATAATTTATACAGGTTTAATGGAAATTAACTTAGATCTTCTTAGTTTACAAGGTTAACAGTACAAAATTAAAACAAATCCATCTGGAGCCTAGATAACACTATCAACAAACAGTGAAGTTATGTAAGCAAACTAACTCTGGAACTTTTCTTAAGTTATAAACTTTTGAAAATAATCAGTGGGAACTCTAAGAGATGATTGAAAGAATATGTTTATTGACACAATGTGCTCCATTTCAAGTATTAAACTTTAACATCAATCAATTAAAAAAAAAAAAAGAAAGTAACACTACAATACCTCAGATATGTGATCAACCATTAAGGCTAAATGAAGATTATCTGCTTGTTTAAGATCCATGTTTTTAAGTGCTGTGGGTAAAAAGAGCCAAGTTTACTTTAAAAAATATCAATAATAAATAACCTACATTGGCTTAACAAATCAGCTGATGACAACAAAAAATTGGTAATATTGTTATACCACAAGCCAGACAGCCTAACTTGATCTTTGCACCCTCAGAAAGCTTATCTTCTCTCCACTGGTCATCTAATATACCAAGCCTAGTTTGGACATCCTCCCTGGAACGACCCTGACATAAATTTAAAAAAAAACAACTGTTTTAATTATAGCTTACATTAGTAATTAAAAATATCATTAAAGGGTACACAAAAGGGGTTGTTAAACTTTTAAAATCTTCCAAAATGGCTTTTATTTACACAATATGAACCAATATTCAGTGGACAAATTTATATTAAAAGAAATAATTCACCTGTATACTGTCTTTGCATTGATCCACCATTTCATGCAAGATTTTCTTGGTGTATTTTCTCAGAGAATCTGTTGAGTCTAGCTCCAGCCTCTCCAAGAGTTCTGGAAGTGTCTCTAACCATTGTGGATCTCGTATAGCAGAAACAAATGATGGCGGCAGGGAGCTGTGATCTATGGGGGGGCTCAGTGTAACTAGCAGAGGGACGGGTGGGTTCACTGATGTTGATGCACTGGGTGGGAGGATTTGTACAGGTGGAAGCTTTGGTGGTCCACTTTTTGGGCTGAGCAACATTCCTACAACATAGAAAAAAGAAAAGTAACCTGTAAATGTGTGGGGTTTCTCACTGCTATAGGTCAATCAATTACAGATTAAAAAGCTAAACTTCAAGTTAACGGATAAATAAATCTACACCTATCTGTTTAAAAAAGATCAGTTTTGTCTGTTGAAAACAGACTATAATTGTGATCCTGATAAAAAATAAACAACTTTGGTTACAAAAACTCACCTGCTGAGTCTGGGGACTGTGGAACTATTGCATTTGGTTGTGGTCCTTCACTGGCTGTAGAGAGAGGGAAGCCAACTCTTTTGTTCAAAAGTGTGCGTTGCTGTCGAGGTGCAGGTGAAGTGTTAGCAGAGACAAAGTTTAACATAGGTGGGTCATTCCACCCATCAACTTGACCACCTGTAAAGGTGAAAATAACATATGTACAGTAACTAATTAATGTCAAAACAATAATTGTTAGGTGAAAATATGTAAACTAATATCTTAATCTCATATCAAAAATAATAACTTTGCCCAATTTAACTGTCTTACAATAAAATGAAAGATTACCAAGTTATCTTCCCTTGCCCAGTACATACCATTTCAGTAAAAAATAGTAATATTAGTATACTGTTATGATGTATGTCTGATAAGGCAAATTGGTGCGAATGAATGTTGGTGCGGCGGTATATTGAACGAGTGAAAGTGTGACAGTAGGCAAGACTGTATCTGCTTAACTCTAGCTTCTAGCTTTAATTAACTTTACTCTGTCTTTAGTTTAGAGACTTAAGTAGTAGGTAGAGTAGTGTAGGTAGTAGTACAGTGGTGTAGGTAGTAGGAATCTAATCTAGATCTAGTATTAACTTAGTATAGTATTAAGTATTAAAATAATTAAGTATAGATTCTAGATCTAGATCTAAGTATTTGACATCTAGTCTAGTATCTAAGTCTAGAGTAGTGAGAGTAGATCTAGATTCTTTTCTAGATCATGAATTCTTAAATATACTACATCTAGCTAGATCTAGCTCTGCGGAGAATTTTGATGAATATAGATAACGGTGTCCGATAATTGACTTTTCCATTAAACAGGCGTGTTGGGTTGTTAATAGTATTGTAATCTTGACTAATTTTATGGTTAGAAATTAGGGTTAGGTGTACGGCATATGGTAGGACCAGGGTTGGGGTTAGGGACAGGGTAACCTAACACCCCTTTTTTAAAGAAGATTCCATTATCAGACACCGATATAAAAATTCTCAGGAGAATTTTTAATACATACAGGTGTCCGATAATGGACTCTTCTTTAAAAAATAGTGTTAGTTAGGCTACTGAAAGTTAACTAAATACACAAGTCACACATTGCTGGCTAATGTCAATGCTAGCCCTGTCCCTAACCCTAACCGCCGGGCATACGCCTAACCCTAGATCTAGTAATTTCTAGATCTAACCATAAAAATTTTTAAAAATATTAAAATTAGTCGAGATTTTATTTTAGGCCTAACAAACCAACACACTTGAACACACCTATTTTATGGAAGAGTCTATTTACTCTATTAGTCTATTGGCCGATGCTAGCCGGAAAAAGATTTGCGTGCGCAATGGAGAGAAACTATGACTTACCATCGTGGCAATGTTTTCAATGGTACTGCGCATGCGTGTGTTTTAGGCCTACAACCGCAGAACCTTAACCCTAATCCTATCCCTATCCCCAACCCTATCCCTAATCCTTGCCCTAATCCTATCCCTAACCCTAGCCATAGGTCATTGTGCATGTGCAGAACTGTCTTTTGCGGACTAAGTGGAGACGTTGGGGAGAAAAATCTTTTTCCGAGTAGGCCTAGTCGCTTCCTAGTCTATTAAAGTATTATCTGACACCGGTATCTAGATCTAGATCTATAATCATCCAATCAATGATTCTATTGACGATAAAAATCTCAATCTGAGAATCTCACTGACTGAATCAGAATCCTGAGTCAGTGAGTGTCGCTGCTTCTGAAGATCACTGTTCCAAGTCGAGTGAGTCACTGTCTCAACTCGATTAGACCGAAATAATCAACCAGTAGTGAGTAGAGTAATTCAATCCTTCTTACCTCTCAATCAGAAATAGTTTAGTTCTATATTATATTTTATTTATCTGTAAGTAAGAATCATTAATTGAATTAAGAGAAAACAACAATTAAAATCTAATGTTTACTTCTTCGCCAACTCACCAGGCCTGGGGGCAGCCATTTTTGAGCATGTGACAGCTACGAGCCAATTGGAATCGAAATTATTAGGAAGCAAACAGTGTTCCGGTATTCTGCATTCTACACAGCTCTATCTCTCTCTCTTACGTGTACGTTTGTTATTTGACTGAGTTAAATAGTTACAAAACCTAAATTTAAATTATTAATTTATAATGGGATATCTGTTTTAAATTAATTTTTATTTTTTCCAAGCGAACATAAACTTTTCGAAGTGTTTTCGTATTTCTCAAGTCATTCTGCATCCATTGGAAACTTATTGCGGAAATTAAAAAAAAAAAAACAATAGAAAAACAGCGGCAACTCCAGCGAAGACGGAAAGCATGAACCACAACTGTGTTTATTACCAAGACGGGAAGCTGTTAATTTCTCTAGCCTAACTAAACTAAAGTGAGCCATTCATTTAATATTTAAATTAGATCTGCATTTTAGTGATATTAGAATAATTAGAGTCTACACACTACACCAGATCTAATCTAGATCCTAGATCTCTAGCTAGATCTAGATCTAGAGTCTTCTTTCTAGTCTAAGAATCTAGAAGTTTAGTTCAAAGTCTAAGACTAGGTCTAGTAAATAGAAATCTAGTACTAGATCTAGATCTAGATCTAGATCTAGATCTAGATCTAGATCTAGATCTAGTAACTAGAAGGAGTCTAGATCTAAATAAAGTAATAAAGACTCTAGAATACTCTAGATTCTAGATCTACTTACTAAGGACTAAACTACAGTACTAATAACTAAACTAACGTCACTAAGTCATAGTCTAAGCTAAGACCTAAGACGAGTCTAGATTAGATCTAGATCTAAATTCTAAACACTAAACTATTAGTCTTAATTATAATAATTAAGTTCTTCTAGATCTAGGACCTAGGTCATGATTTATGATTATACTCCAATCTAGATCTAGGCTCTAGGCCCTACTACACTACTTTTACAGTAAACATTAAACAGTTTAATCAACAATAGATCAATAGATGAGAATCTGGATAGATTCTCTACTGACTCTAGACTAGATCTTTCTGCTTTATAGATTTAGAAACAGATAGATCTAGGTTACCCTAGTTACAGCCTAGTAGTAGTAGTCTACTCAATACTCAATGTCTAGAAATCTAGATCTAGAATAGTAGGCCTATCTATATTCTCTAGGTTTTATTATCAGGCCTAGATCTAAGTAATATAATTGAATTTGCATCCAAAAGCCAAGTTGATAGCTTCTAGATAATTGTAAAAGCGAGATCTATAGGCCTATATAATATAAATCTAGATCTATATCTAATTAGCCAAACATAGATTTGTATGTGTAGCTAGTATGTAGTATGTAGTCTCTAAGCCTATAAAACCATATTACACTTATAGAGACTAAAGGCCTAACATTTTATTCTTTTTTTTCTTTTCCTTTGATACAGGACAGCTACTTGTCTGCTTATCATACCATTTCCCTGTTGAATGATATGTGATATGAAGTTTTTCTTGCAAGCAGCTACAAAATCTGCCAATTTTCAAACATGGATATGTGTTCTTTTATTAGTGTGCGGTTGTTTTGGGGATAAAAATGAGGATAAACGTTTGGATACAGTTACTGAAAGTTCCTTGCCAGTGACACAAAACGGCAAAAGTAGAAATGGCTCCCCAAATAAAGTGGAAGCACCAACTGGTAAGTTATAAGAGTATGCCTAGTATTTATTTCTACTTTACAGCCTTGAATCATTCTGTTTTGTCTAAATAGAACCTGTTTCAAATAGAAAGCATCTATACATTTTACCTTAAGACTATGCATAACAGATCTAGAAACCTGGGATGAATTTTTGGTCATTATTTAGCACAGAAAGTTTCCAAGCTTACTGATGAGGTTGCTAAAGAGGCCTATGCCAAGTATTCCCTTTCTATGAGTTTAACTAAGAAAATAAGCTATTTAGTTTTAAAAGCTAGCTGAAATGAAGATATATAAAAAAGCTGAGAATTAACATATGACAACCAAGTATGAGAATTATAGATATGTGTATGAGATCAAGACTCAGGGATCTGCCTACATTACAATAGTTGACAGCATATATAAGTTTAGTCCCACATAGACAGGACAACCCAGTATGGCATTCATATGATGTCTGTATCATTGTTAAAGTGACAGTTATGGATGTGTAGCACATGCTAAAAAGTATTTAATGTGTACAATATATTTTGTTGAAATAAAAAGCTTATCCCACCAGACTGTCTACCTAACCACTATCATTTAAAAAGTCTCTAAAGAACAAACATTTTTTATTATATTTTAGCCTTTTACATATGCATTAGAACTGCATTACTATGATTCCATTGCATTTTCCTTTTCATACATGTCAGATTTTCATCAGAACAGGCCCATACATTTATTTTTTTAACTGCAAAATGGACCATACATTGATGCAATTCAATGTATTATTCATGAGCCCAGTGGGCTACTATTGAGTTTATTCTTATCTTTTATAGGCATTTATATTTATATGTAAAGTAAAGCCAAACTTGCATTGAACTATTTTACTTTGATTGAACATTGTACTTAATGTTTAATAATCCTACCATGCCGTAACTTTGAGTAACTCAGTAACATACAGGTTAAAACCTTTTGAGCTATCTTTCTGTTAACATTCTATTTGGATATTAATAGACTTTCGAAATTTAAATGCTACTGAAACTGAAGTATGTTTCTTAACTCCATGATAGAGTTTGAATCACTTAAAAAATGAACAGAAAAAAGTTTTTGTAAATGTTGTTGCTTTCAGTGGCTGTCAGCCGGCTCGCTGCCGATATTGATTTTTCCGCGAAATTTGCATTTCTGGCCATTGCCGTTCTGTCATCACGTGATTGAAGCGTTAGACTTTAAAATGCTGACCACACGAAACAATTCAGTTTGGATCGATACTGCCCACTTGTCCAGCGGGGCGACACGCAAGGGTGTCTTTGCCCGATAACCAGGGTCCTTGTCGCGATATCGATACAAGAGGGGAAACATGGTGATAATCGGAGCTGTCATTGGTTTTCTAACGCCGCGTTATCAGCGGGGTTTTGATAAGCTGAAAGATGAGGGTGGTTTTGAGAATGTTTGGTAGTGGCAAACACGGGAATCACTTCCTGCTGTTGAAGTGGTGTATGCTAGTTATCTTCTCTTTCCACCTTCAAACCCCATCCTGTCTAAATCTAATCCTCCTTTTGTTATTAAAAAATTAAATGTACGGGGCTGTTGTGTAGTAGTAGATTATTCTAGTTTAGTACGCTGGCTAATATTGAATACGAGGATGTATGCATATTACGCAAGCTACCATTGTAAGAAGGGGTTGTGCGTGGGCTTTCATTGTAGGAGTAGGTGGTGTGAAGGCTAGATTCATGTGTTCTTTGTATAACGGGTGGAGTGGTATCCGGGTCTGACTGAACTCCTCTGTATAATTGTTTATCGGCTTGTCCGTGCGCTACACTCAGTTGTTCTGTATCTATCTGTATCCAACCTTACTGGCCATCAGAAGCGTAGCAAGGGGGGGGGGGGGGGGCGGGGGGAGGGGACATATGTCCCCGGGCGCCGACCTTAGGGGGGGCGCCAAATTGAAAGTTTGAGGGGGGTGCAAATGAAAAGTTCGAGGGGGCGGGGTGGTGCAAATCGAAAGTTTGAGGGGAGTTGGGGGTGCAAATCGAAAGTTTGAGGGGGGGGGGGGGGGGTGGTGCAAATGAAAAGTTCGAGGGGGGGCGCAAATCGAAAGTTTGTCCCCGGGCGCCGGGAGGGGTCGCTACGCCTCTGCTGGCCAGGGAGTCTAATATCTAACTGGTTTTTGTGTATTCTATTTTTAATATAAACACTGATACATGTAAAGAAATCAAACATCTATTCTCTTTTAATTACCGCTTTAAGCTCAATCGTGCATCGTAATTAATGAAATGTCTGAATCTTAATTTAGTTTTAAGCTGATTGATGGCATGCACAGCCGCAAGCGCAAACAGTGACGGCCAGTCCTTATGGTCCTACACATAGACTGAATCACCCCAGGTACGGGAAGAGATAGCTATTCAGGTCATCTTCTCAGCATAATTTCACGGCTTATAAATCTGACCCACACAAGACACACGGAAAACACATTTTAAACTGAGCTTTTTAAAAACTGCATGTGTCGACAGGTTTACGGGAAAATCTACTTGTACATCAGTATAAGTGCAGTCGTTTTTAATGTATTCTTAGTCCTACTGCGCTGTAGATTCACTACTGCGATAGCAAGTTATCTATAACAGAGTTTCTTCCAGGCATCCCACCTCCCCCGGGAACGAAATAGAAAAAATATAAATTGTATGTAGAAAATGTATACAAGTGTCTGCTCCAGCTTCCCACCGGAAATTTAAGTGTGCCCCGCTCCACCCCCGCCCCTCCCAATGTGTAGAAAAAGACCATCTTTACTTGTTGAAAGTTAACAATGAAAGCAAAAAGTCGGCTCATTCTGGATACGAACCTACGCTTACCGCGGCAATCAATATCGGCATGAACCCCGTGTAGAGTAGATGTAATAAACGCTGCGCTGTATCAAGAATCGCGCCAATCTAATCGGCCTGTATCAAGACAAGCACAGGAGTGTTGCCCGTACTGTATACCGTGTCTAGAGCATGGCCTTTGTTCTGAGTTGTTTATCGCCTCGGTTAATTGTTTCCCTTCGCGTCTATTGTACTTCCCCCTCCAGCTCGGCTATTGTGTCGTGTAATCTACCCCACGGCCCTCACAATATGGCTGTCGTCTGCTGACACTCCATGCAGATGTTTCCGTGACAGTTAAGCAGCAGACGCACGCGACTTCTCTAGGATCTCTTATTATCTGTTATTATGCAATTAAAGAGCCAAATCCACAACTACAATAACGATTGGATCTGGACTAATTTTTTTATATGAATTCTCTTCTGGCGTATTTGTTTAGTCGTGTAATGTAGACGCGAGTAGAAATGTTCAATAGCCGTGTTTATTTTTATCCTGGGAATAAGTGACGTCTGTTTGTGGAACTTCCGATGTTTGTGTACGCCATCTTGTTTCATATCAGAAAAAATAAGCACTTGG